AGCTGTTTATATTGTTGCATTGTCGGTTTTCCCACATACTATGTCTAACAGATTAGCGATATCCTGGAATGTGAAGACCTAATTTCACCGAGGCACACTTGGGTGGGTTCAGGCTATGATTGCAGGATGAGTGTAGGGTGGAGTGGCATGCATCCAGTTGTGGAGACTAAGACCAGTTGTTGCAGCCAAAATCAATTATTAAAATCGCAATGATCATGTTAGGGGTCCAGTTTCGAAATATCAAAATGCTACATATCTTTCTCTAATTCGAACAGGCAACATATTGAGGCAAGAACTATAATTCACCCGTTGCATGTTTACTTCCCGATCGGAAATCGAACCCGGGTCTCTCAAGTCAGACGTGGATACTGACCTCTACTACCTCTCCAGTAAAGTTCAGGTAGGTGGTCGTCCGGCCCAGATCATAACACATCAAAGCACTGTTTAATCCTGCCTCAGTTACTTCGGCCGTAAATCTAATTCTGTCGCAGTTCAAAGCACTACAAACTAGCAGCACAGTTTGTCGTCTGTCGCTCCGCCAGGTTATAGACCACATTGTTCGTGGACAAATCTCACAAGGTACTAATAACAACCAACGCGAATCGCGGTCACTCATAAAAGACACGCGGATTGCTTTTATTTCCTTGGACTGTTAGTGCTCGCTTTTTAGGTTAACAAGACTGAAATTATAGAAATCAAATAAAGTTTGATTTTATTCTAAGAATGTACGTAAACATGTTTCAGATGTTAATGTGAAACACGGTGTTCACACGTGTTTGGCCGTTTACAGTCACAGTACAGGTTTGCAAGTAACGGCGCTAACGCAATATGGATACTACACGCATATTGCGTCCTGACTTAGTTCGGCGCAAAACTAGTCTATACTCTCCGCCTTTCATAACACCTTTCTCACCTACGGTTTGTCCAAACAAACTAGTCACCAAAACTTTAACGATAATAAATTAAGATGTGCATGTTTTTTATCATCCTTGATGTTATTTTCAGACAAACTGGTAAAAACCTTGATGTTATCTTAAATCATTTTTAATGTACTGAATTGAGTATTCCTCGTTTCCGGTGCCTTGCTTTGATAACGATCCTTTTGATAAAAAAATTCAAAACTATCTTGACTTCCGTCCGATGGCAAAATATTCGTTTTGATAACAATTGTTTAGTTTTTTGTCTACTTGTAGGGTTCTTGATGATGTTTACGCTATGTCCCCTCAAGTCGTCATCCTTATCGCATTGGTCTTCCTGGAATGCGACAATTAATGCGGGAGTGTATTTGTGTTTGTGTTTGTGTGTGTGATGGAGAGAGGGAGAGAGAGATCGCGTCCACAGATGGAGGTTGCGTCACCACAGCTGCTCGCGGGCGCTGTGGGAATACATAGAGTAATGTCGAGTAAAAGAACACCTGTGGGTGATGACACTGCCATCTGTATACTCTATGGCGCCGAGAACGACTTAACAAGGTTTCCAATTGTCCGATGTTACTCTTATGGAGGTATCATGTGGAGCTATTCTTTCGGTTTACCAATTCCTAAGATCTCATCGCTTTCCCATTGTAGTGATTATTTTATAAACATGCTCTGTGCCACTGCCCCTTTACTGGGAGTTATTTTTCTCTAAATCGGGTTAGCTTTCCTAAATACTTATTATTCAAAATGCTGGATTATTTTCGTTTCAGACGATTAGCTAACTGTATTTTACAGAGTGCTGAATCCATTATACACCCCCATTATATTTGAAGATTTTCGTGGTGTTTGAAACATTTTATTCATATATTTGTTATTCATAGTCTACACTACTAGGAGAATCGTGGTAACTTACACTTAATGTTTACTAAATAATCAATTACTTCTTGATTAATATTGCACTTGAAATATAATATACTATACGAATATAATAAAATACCACTTCCATTACGATTCCTTAAACTGTCAACCAGTTTCCGACTGGACATGATGATGGTCAAAATCAATCGCCCTTTTGATGTTTTTAAATATCCAAAGTTTTGTATTCTACATTATAGGTGTAAATATATCAAACAGTGTTGGAAACTTTGTTCATCGTTTCAATAAAAAATAATATTACACAATGGGAAAAAATCGTACACGCCTCATATTTGTTGACGCTTCAACTACTTTCACAGCAGAAAATCTTTGAATCAAATTCAGATTATATAAATAAGTGCATTTTTAGACCGATCTCAGTTGGGCCCACCTGTTTAGCGACAGGTTTGATTTATCTCCGGGTTTTGGATGGCGGCCACTTTTTGTCGGGCCAATTTACCTCTCGTTACAGTCCATAAACAACCCTTGACACCTAACGTGGATTTATCACGAGATAAATCAACCGTTCGATTGATCGATTTGCGTGAAATTATATTGAGACTGGTGCTTGATTGAAACATTGCCGTGCGTGTTTGTAAACATGGAGTCACGAAAAAGTAATCGTATTAAAACAACAGAGAAAGGAATCTTACGTTCTCTAGGTCGGTGGTTCGAATCTCAACTTGATCTTTGGGCCTTTATACTGGGGAAAGAAACAGCAATCAGCAACAAAGCTAGGCAACTCACACTCCTTCTTTCGTAAGGTTTAAATACACCTAGCATTCTCATCTTACAAGTAGCATTGTGATCGTTAACATACTGAATGTTTGCTTCATGACACAAATACGTTTTTAGAGAATGATTTGATTGAAGAGTGTTTGTACAAATATGAAATACTAATGTCAATGCGTATATTCCTAAATGAGTAAATCAGTATATTTTCTTTATATTTTTTCCATTGTTTTAACAATAAAAAATAAATGTAATCTAGTAATAAATAAAATAAATAAATCCCTTTCATAAAACCCCACAAAATCAGTAAATCTCCTTCCCTCCCGTATTTCATTAAAACTCTGTATATCTTGCATGTTTAATTTATAGTGTGCAAATATATCTTTACTTTTCTATACTTGTTTTAGTGCAATTTTCAAATGAACCATGTGGCTATTTATAAACCTATATTTGTATATATTTATTTTAAAATAAAATGTGTTCTAATTCATCAATTTTTTTTTAATTGCTTCTTACCGTATATAATTAAAAATAATTAGCTAAATACACTAAATTATTTATGTTAGTTTTACTAACCACAATTCTTTTGGACACTAATATAAATAATCACTAAATCAATTAAGTAAGAAATAGCATATCCTCGTGTGATGGAGAGTGAAACATTTGTCTAGTGGAACATATTCCACTATAAAAGATTATCGGGTGTTTCCTTTATTCCACGTTCAGTAGAACTACTTACCCCTGTGACACAGGTTTTTTCCTCCGCGTCTTCAACCGTGTACACCGTGCATCATTTATAAAGTTGACGGCCTCCTAAATCTCTACCCGTCCCAAGGGGCTCCCGTATCAAAAAAGATGGCCACCTAACGACCCCCGGCTTAACTCATATAAAGTGAGGCGATCCCTGCACTTCAACGCTTTCCCGGGCGTCTTTGCTTGTTTCACGGGGGACCATTTTCAGATATATTCCGGTGTTATCGAGTGGAAAATGTTATCTTTGTTTATACATTGACCATTTAATTTTACTAGAACATACAGGTGTTCTTAATTTTGTTAGGCTGTTAGGTTTTTGATATCCTTTATACATAAAGGATTCGAAGGACTGTATTTTAAAACCGCAGCTCCTTTGATCCCTATTTTTTATCGCTACCAAAGTTTCAATGTTAAAATAGTTTTTGGTTTTAAATGCAAACACAAAACTAAATTTTTCAGCTGGAGATGTATTGGTTGAGCAGTGTTCATTCTGAGTTCCAACGATTACGACTCGTGGCAATGAATGATGATAAATGCCTGCTCGAGATGGATTAGTTTGGCTACTTGGCCAATGAAACGATTGTAAATTCAATTACAGAGCTATATTTGTATTTTAACAATGTGAAACTGATTTTATATTAAAAATAGTGATGCATTTGTAATAGTCTTTTACAAAACATCTTCTTTGATTCTGCTACTATTCCTGTCACGAATCAGTCCGGAAGATAAACACTGCTTAGTTAAAACCTTTTTACTGGCTACAAAATATTCGTGGTTCCATTATATCTAAATGTAAATTCCGGAAATGCCGATTTGACGTTCCAATTAGGTTTGCAGTTTGGAAACAGTTTATAAGTTCGTTGCCGTTTCTCTGGCTAGCGCCACCGGTGTAGGTTTCTAAACAGACTGAAGGAATCATTTCCAGTTATTTCTGTTTTGTTTGGATACACTGCATCGGCGCTTTAACTAAACTAAACTGTTTACGGTAGAAAACGCCCTCCAGTCGCGTCGCTCGCCAATTGTTAACCTGTTGCATTCTTGTGGAACAACGGTCTCTAAATAGCTTCTGACCACAGGTCACTATCAAACTGTAGAACGTTGGCTTCTCATGATTACTTCAGTCCATAGAACATTTTGCTTCTCATGATGCCCTTAGTCTATAGAACATTGGCTTCTCATTATGCCTTTAGTCTATAGAACATTATTTGCTTCTTGATGTCTGCCAGTCTATGGAACATTTGCTTCTCATGATGCCTTTAGTCTATAGAACATTGGCTTCTCATGATGCTTTAGTCTATAGAACATTTGCTTCTCATGATGCCTTTAGTATATAGAACATTGGCTTCTCATGATGACCTCAGTGCAGTCTATAGAACAGATGCTTCTCATGATGACTGTCAGTATATAGAACATTTGCTTCTTGATGTCTGCCAGTCTATGGAACATTTGCTTCTCATGATCACGATCAGACTGTTGAACATTGATCAGTCTGTAGAACATTAATTTTTATTATTTTCAGCACACTCTTGAACACAAGTAGTAGAACATTATTATTTGGTCTCTCATGCAAATAATTTTGCAAAATATTTTTTTACCATCACTTTTATAGTGATATGCAGATGTTATTCACTCTACTTTCCTAAGTTTCTACAATGGTTCATTGTGGTTTGTTGTTTGTTGCAGTCGTGCAAAGTGTGCAACAAGACTTTTGCCAACGTGTATCGTCTCCAACGCCACATGATCAGCCATGACGAGAGTGCAGTCCTCCGCAAGTTCAAGTGTCCAGAATGTGAGAAAGCCTTCAAGTTCAAACATCACCTCAAGGTGAGAAAATAATTTTTTGTAATTTTTCTTCACCTAAAACAGTTTAATGACGTAAAAGATACTCACATAAAGTGTATCATTAAATTCTTCTTCTTATTATAATTTAATACTAGTAAAATTTTTTAGATGTTTAAGCTTCTTTCATACTATAAATTTGTAAAAACATTTATATTCAAGTTAAACATCATTTGACCTAAAACACCACTCGTTTAAGGACTTGAGAGTTGGAATATAAATCTTTATTGACAGAGGTAGGACCCTCAATAAATATATTCACCAGGTTGTGTCCATGTGGATGGATGGCCATGTTTTTTCCCAAGCCTCAATCCATATTCATCAGATGCTGCATTAATTCGACCCTTCTCCAATACTGTGTTTACATTAGAACTTGGATAGTTGTTTGGTTGCTTCCACCAAATTTTGGGCCCTACTCCTACCCTAATTAATATGTGAAGCCAGTTGTTCTCAACAGTGGGAGAATTATTTTGGCTTGTTTTAAAACTATTGTTCTTAATTTATCCATAATGATAGTTCAAAGAATTAGAGTAATATTTTTCTTGATTATGTAAATAACAATTTTAATGTCTGCATCAGTTGGGGCTCAGAATAAATGCTTACGCATTAAGTGTTAACTTATGCAGTACAAAATAAACTATAATAATCATTGCCACTGCTTTGTGTTAAGCAATCATATTTTATTACAGGAGCATATTCGGATACACAGCGGTGAAAAGCCATTCAAGTGTAACAACTGCGGAAAGCGCTTCTCTCACTCTGGCTCCTACTCCAGTCATATGACCTCCAAGAAGTGTCTGGTAATGAACCTAAAAGTCAACCAGCGAGGCCTCAACCGAGCAGTAGATCTCAAACATCAAACCTCCGTGCAACTCTCTGCTTTCAGGAGTCAACCTCCAATGCCCAAAAGATCACCTACAAACAACAACAACAATTTTCCACCTATCCTCCCCAAGTACAATGAGGCAACATCTGCATTTCTATCAAATTTTCCACCTCAACCTAATAGCGGGATGCATCCATTTTTCTTCCCACCATTTAATCATCAGAACAGTCCTTACTCTTTAAACAACCTGATAGAGCAGTTCAACAGAACCCCTCCTCCCAGTCAGTCGGAAGTCAAGATCAAAGAGGTTGAAAATGAATCGCCAGAAAAGGAACCAAAAAGTGAAGTAAAGATTAAAGAAGAAATAAGAGACGAGAAAGAATGTGAGGAAGATCAGAAGTCTTCAAGTTTTCAGGAGAGACAATCCTCAGGAATCAACAGTAATGGAGGTGACTTAGAGGAGGTAAAGAGGATCTTAGAAACCGTCAGTGCAAGGGTAACCAAACAATTTCTTCAAGAGAATATGCAAAAGCTCTCTCCAGCTTCATGTAGTTCAGGCTGTCCGAGTGTGAAAAGTGAAGCTGCGACTCCTCCTGCAGAAGAGAGACCAGACACACTCTCATGTCGGTTCTGCCATAAGATCTTCACATCTGGAATAGAACTACACCAGCACGAAAGGTACCTCTGCAATGGAGATGACCAAAAAAGTGAAGGGTTAGCTGCAAAGTTAGAAGATGTTGCCACCAAAACAGAAACAGTCAGTTGTAACGGAGTAAGTTATAGTGGAAGTGAAGATGAAACAAGATCTCGGGAACTGATGACAGAGGATGAAGACGGTGAAGTAGATCAAGACGGAAGGAAAGTCAGGGTTAGATCTCAAATTTCGGAAGATCAGTTGATAATCTTGAAACAAAACTACACCCTGAATCCTCGCCCTAAAAGAGAAGAACTTTCGAGGATTGCTGAGCATGTAGGGTTGGCTGTGAGAGTCGTTCAAGTATGGTTTCAGAACAATCGTGCCAGAGATCGTCGAGAGGGCAGACTGGTTCATGTTCCTTATGTTCCTCAAACTACTTGGTTCCCTGCAGATTCTCCACCTTTGTCTTCAGAGCAGCCTCTGGATCTCTCTACAAAGAAGTCACAAGGGTCGTCTCCAGTTGGGTCTGATTCAGAGGAGGCTATAAATTTGACTCAGAAGCCCCAGCTGTTCATTCGACCCATGTACCAACAACGGTCACCTTCACCTCTAGACTCAAGTAAATTGGCCAGGATGTTGACACAACCAGTTCTCAGGTACTTTTACAAAACAATTTGTATAAATTATTGCAAAACTAAACGGGTCTTTTTTCCCCCGTGACCAAATCAGCTGTTGATCGAAAACTGAAAGTGAATGTTATACGTTTTTTGGATATGGTTATGTTTTGCCTTAGCTTCACGATTAACTGTTTATGTTAACTGTTAAATGTTTATTAAATGGCTACTAAAAAGCAATAAAAGGTGTTTTGTGAGTCATAGTTTACTCAAACTGAAGCCGTTGTGACAGTTCAACAAAACTTCCTCACCTACAACTTATGCAGTTACAACAAGAAGGATCCTTTCTTAACTTTTTGGAGGTTTTTAACCAGTTTTTGAACACACAAAACTCATTTTCTAGCTTTGTAGTAGCCATTTAATAAACAAGTATGTCACAGTTCATCAAGTAGTAAAAATTAAATGTAACCAAATTAAAACAAACTTATAAACATGCTCTTAAATTATTGAAATTAACAGCTGTGTTAAAAAGAAAAAAGGACCTGTTTAGTTTTGACCCATTACTTTTGAAACACCTAGTACTTTCAACTCATGCCTCCATGCAACCATTTTATCAATGCATCTTTGCTTGTTATATAGTTCCATTCTTTTATTTGATTTATTTTTTGAATCAACAGTGTCAAATCCAGAAGCATTTGTTGCTTTATGATGACAAGCCTTGTTAATTGCTCTTAGTGATAGTAAATTATGTTTCAGCAGGTTCTCAACGAATGGTGGATCACCATTGGGTATGGATCGGTTGTGGATGGCCAGCAGAGATCAGGCCGCCTCCAGATCACCCCTTCCTGCCATAGCTCTCTACAACGGAAACACTTCCCCCTCCCCTACGTCCGACCTGTGGTGGAAAAGGGTAAGCAATTCAAATACTGTACTGTGATTTTAAAAATTCTAGCTATCCAATACTAGGGATAAGAAAATGTTGGAATAGTCTGGATTATTGTGTAGTTACATCCTCTTATGTATGGGTTAGGTAACCAACCAGATTGCAAACCAACTTTTCAAAAAAAGGAAAAGCACACTTATCACTATAAAAATGTTGTGCTTAAAAACTCATCTTGAAAATAAATTATATGAAACATTCTTTATTTAGCTCTTACTGTTTATGTAGGAGAAAAACTGTTATATTTATAGAAGTTTTTGTTGGATAGAAGAAGTGTATATTTTGACAAAAGAAACGCAAACCAACTTTACACTATATATCAAAATTGAAGATATTTTACTATTACTAGCAGCATTTCCATACAAGGAAGGTTTTAGTTAGGAGGACCAATGTGTTCAGGTCCAATTTCCAAACTATTGGACAGTAATATGGTTGAGTCATCGATGTCAAACCTTCCTTAGAAGGAAATGCTCTCGGTGACATATATATTCAAATGTGTTACAGTGCAGATTGTTTGGCGTTTCTTGTGTCAGACTGGCGATTCTTTCTCATTCAGGTTAGCCTGCTATCCTAACAAAAATCTGTCAACTCTATAGTTATAGATTTCCCTCATAACCAACAAACCAACACAGTTTCTCAATTTTAACAGAACCTGGTAGAAAGTGCAGAAGCTGACGAGTTCATCACTTCGGATTTGTCTGATATCCGAGACCGAGAACGGAGCAGTTTATCCAGTGGTGGAGCAGTCAAGAGGCCTAAGCCGGAGTCAGAGTCAGATGGTGGGTCTCACTCACCCTTGTTCCCATGTGACCAGTGTGATAAAGGCTTCTCAAAGCAGAGTTCTTTGGCAAGGCACAAATATGAACATTCAGGTTTGAACACATCCATCGAAATTGGGTTTGACTGAAATTCGGGGGAGTTCTAAACCTAAATTTGACAGATGCATGTGAAATCAGGTTTATGGGACTTTTGTTAAATTTATATGGGAATTACTACTTGGAACACAAGTTATTTTGTCATTGCATGTTTTTTACCAAACTTTTTGCATATTTTGTATTTTGTTCTTTGAAGGGTCTTCTCGTTGATATTGAAACTATATTTATTTGTTGTGCATGAGTTATGTTTTATTTTAGTTTTTTTTTGTTCTTTTCAGTTTTTTTTTTTTCAGGTCAATTCTGTTCCTCTTATTTGAACCCTGTTTGGGTGCAAGGCTTATGAGTTTCAAGTTGTTTGACCTTATGGAAAAAAATATTTCCAGTCAACTTAGTAAAAATTTTATCAGTTTCATTATTATTTTGTATTTGAAGTATTCAATTATTCTTTACTCAAAAACCTTTTCATTTGATGGGGATGAAAATATTAAAAATTAAATGCATCGCTAAAACCAGCCTTAAAGAACTCTGCGTAAAGGGATCTTAACTGTTAAGAAACCAAATGCAGTTCTATCACATTTGTCGTTTGCTGTAGTAAAATAGAATATATTTTACTGTAATCTAGAAAAATTAACAAGTTATATTTCATTCAAGCATGAAACTATTCATTATGTCTAACAAATTACTATGTGATTAAATTACAAAGTATTATTTATTTCAACAGTTTTTAGTGCTCCTCCTGTTAGTTTATCCAATACTGTTAGTATATTAGTATAAAATTCCTCTTATTATGAATTTACTAGAATAAATATTCAATAACGCTGGTAGACTTGTTAAGTCTGTAGGTTCGCTGCAGCAGGAGTGTTACAACACATTGTATTGATAACAAAAAGGAGCAAACTGAAACAAATTATACACCCAGACTTTTTCAAATGAATTTCATGAGTCAGTAAACTTGTTATTACAAACCTTAAAATATATCCCAGGAAAAAATTCCAAGGTATTCTAAAACATTCCTTTGTTGAGAAGTAAAATGAGGGAATGGAGAGCTATGCGGCCATTTATTGGCTACTTCCGTATCGAAGACACTGTTTGCCGAGGCGAGAATTAAAAAAAAACTGTGCAACGCTGGCATTTAATTTAAACATTCTTTGCTCACAAGGAGATTCGATTTACAGTTTGGACTCTGTCAATTGGAAGTAATGTGTCTTCTTGCTTCTTTGTAATAGCAACTTAACGGTTAAGTCCAAGTCACATGTAATTTGACCAGACCAGATTCAATTGTTGCCGACAGTATCTGAATTGCATTGAGTCAATATTGAAACCGTTCTGTTTTCAATCCAACCTTAGCTAAACATAAAATAATTAATACTTTGATGGTATATTTTGCTTGGGAATTTCTTAAAGAATAATCATCTATTAACTACTAATATTAGCATAATGACTAGTTTTTTCAAGCTTTTTTAAAATGGGAAAACAATCTGTGACTTCTAATCAAACACATTTTACCTAATAAACATTTTTATAATAATCATATACTTTTAATCTAATTTATCAAATAAAAAAATCATATCGTCAAGAGAAAAAAATAATGATCTTGTGTATCTTTTATTCATTTGGTGAATTTTACTATAAGGAAAATGCTATCTCTGTTGTCTCCATAATACCTGAGAAAAGTAATAAATAAAATGTAAGGTCTGGGACCGTTGCACTTTCTTATTTTAGGGCCCCTAGAAACCGAAAATACCACCTGCAATATTTATCTATGTTATGAGCAGCATAGAAATATCACTTCTGGATATGTAGCATATTGTGACATTTAAGAGCATAGTGCTTCTTTTTAACAGCAATAAAAGTATCCATGTTTGTAGATATTGTATCTACAGTGAAGATTGACAGATTTTAATCCAATCAATCGGGGCATTTGACTTAAAAGTAGTTGGAATGCAAACATATACTTAAAGAGAAATTTTGGACAAGTTAGCATTACAATTTAGTAAATAATTTGTTCCTAATAATTATTTACACGATACTTCATTATTGTATTTCACTTAAATCATTTTTATAACAAATTTCACCACTTTGCATGCACTTTTACTTGCTACAGAATGGACAATCCTAATACAACTAATAAGTTTATTGTTACTTTGTCAAAAACAATTTTAAGCTATATCCTACTTGTTTGACATACAACGCCAAACTTATCAAAAAAAGACTTTAATTGAGTAAAATTGTCTGTCAGTTTCACACTTTCAAAATATTAAATCGATAAATGAAAAGAACTTCAATTCACAAAGTAAACTCAAGAAGTGTAAAATCCTTAAGTTTCCAAGTGTCGTGATTCTAAATTCATAGCATTGTCAATAAGTTTTACAACAGACTTTATGACTTAGCCTGCACATGGGGGTGATAAAGTCAACTTAAGGTGTTTTCTCATCCTTTTTGACCCTTCCTGTAAATTCCAGTCTTGAATGTATTTATTCCTAATCAATAAGATTTAATAAAAAGTATATAAATATTTTAAAAATTAACAAGCCGTCTATTCTCCCCTTATTTCTTTTCTATTGTTTTCAAATGAACACATACATTGTTATTTGTTAGACACAACTTTTTCATCTCACTAAAAAACTGTGAACATTTTTGTTGGCTATTAGTATAAATGAAACCCACTTTATTTACGACATGCGTAGTAATGCTCTAAATACTTAAACATGTAGGTTGAACATATTACCTATTAGTAATTTCAAGTAGTTGTAGGGTTTTATGTCTACTATACTCTATCTGAACTATTTGGTGAAGGGATACTTCTTCAGTAACAACTATGTTAGTATGTAATATTGTTTAACTTAATAAAACATGGGGTATGTTGTCTATGATGTCTTAACAGGGACCTGACTAATTTAATAACTCAGTGAGATAGATGATAGATAGATTGATAGTATGTTGTCTCTTTTAAAAAACTGTAGGTAAATCAGCTCAAATTTTGGAAAATGTTTGATAACCCTTGTTGTTAACAAATTAACAAACTTTTCTATGTACCTTTTGCTTGTTATCTAATTTTTTTAACAGATTTTTACCCCGCGATGGCTTAGGGATATGATTTGATACTCTCCATACCTAATTGTAAATGGTGTAATTGTTAAGAGAGAAATAAATAAATCTCAAGACCACGCTTTTTTCCATTTTTAAAAACCATCGTTGTTTGGTCAACCCAATTATATTCTTGGAGTTCAGAAAACCACTTGTAAATTTACTTTTCACAACTTTATCTTTGACTCTCAACCATCCAATTATTTCTTGTTTCTAATTTAGTTGTTGCTTACAGGTCAGAGGCCCCACAAGTGCGATGTTTGCATGAAGGCGTTTAAACACAAGCATCACCTAACGGAGCACAAGCGACTTCACTCAGGCGAGAAGCCCTTTCAGTGTACAAAGTGTCTGAAACGGTTTTCTCACAGCGGGTCCTACAGCCAACACATGAATCACCGTTACTCCTACTGCAAACCTTACCACACATGAGACTGAGATTCCCTCCCCCTCCCCCTTCCTGTACCACTCCACCTTCCTCTGCCCTACCCGTATCACTACCCTTTGCAAAACCACCTCGATTACATCCAGCCTCAATGATTTTCGGACACATTATTTTAGAGGTATTTGGTAGACTTTCTTTGTCTTTTATCGCTGATATTTTGAGGTTTAAGACTTCCTAATGTCATTTTGATATTTTTTAATGTTAAATTTTTTTAAAGTAATAACGATAACAAAATCACGAGGTTGTAAATATGATCTTGATACTAATCTGGTATTTGTCTTACTTCGTAATGTCCGAGGATCGTTGAAAAATGTTGAAATTATGACCTTTTTCTCATATCCGTAGCTTTCCACGTAACCTCGCCTTTTCCAATACTCCTTGGCATAGCTTATGTGTTGCTTAATGTAAAATGTTACCTATATAAGTACGGTAAAGATATTTTTCAGAAATCTATCTGTATATATTAAAGTGTACCTGTTCAACTTCGGTGGTGACCTATTACCTAATAATGTTGCCACAGGCCAGTTACGTTTAGAAACACTTTTGCAACAAAATTTATTAATTGTAATTGTTACTTGTTGGGAGAAAGCAGATGGTTTATAATTCAAGGACTGGATATCGGTGTAGAACTTTTTATCCGCAGTCTTCCAGGAAATGTTTCTTTTGACGGATATTTCAGAATTTCGTGATCTCAATAAAATTATTTCTTCAATAAGGTATGGAATGTTCCTGATGTATAAAGAGATGTTTGTGAAACCGTTCGGTGTCAACTCCCCAAATTTTAGTGTTTGGATATGTTCTGACGGAAGTGTCTTTTCGTCAAATTGTGTTTTAACACTGTTAAACGAACCGGTCATTGAGGTTGACCCCTGAGTGTAAATATTATCGTAAATTGACAATACATTTTAAAGGAAACGACTCAATTGCAGTGGTTATTCATGCCCATGTGTGTATCCGATCAGTGCGGTTCCTCCTTTACTGTAAACATTTCTAATAATCAGTCATTCATATTGTTGGTCAGCATTTCTTTTATTCTAGTCGAGTTTTATGCAGACGTTTTTCCACCATTTGACCGTATCCCAAAGAGCTTTTTAACCTAATAAATGTGTCAAAAGTGTCACTGATTATCGCCATTCCTTGTAGGTTAGGACGTAAGTTATGGTAATTGTAAGTATGTACAACAAGCATCATTCATGACAATAAAATAACCAATATTTTTATCAATGTTAATATTAATTTAACAGCTGTTATTAAAAATATTAATATCAAACGTGTTTTGGTGGCCATTTTCAGTGACTTTGTGATTTTGGACAACTAAGTAAATATATTTGTTAAATACATTAGCTGAACTTTTCTTATTAGTCAATTTAACTATTTGTTACCATAAATATTTTTGAGACGTTTTACTTTCAAACAAGGACAGTATGGAGTATTCAAAAATTATCAACTGACATAAGATTTGTTCAGATTAAAACTTTTCTAACATTAGCGTTTAGTTTTCATTTTTATTAAACAACAAAGAAATCGTATACAAACACCACTTACCTGAAAGTGGCCACCATATTACCTATTACGTGATATTCTTTTGATATTTGAATCAAATAGTTTGTGAATTAAATCACGCTTGCAAGACAAAGAGGTGTAAGTACGTATGATAATCCTAAGTAATTATGCCTCTTCGTCTTGTTAGCTACGAAATGTAGAGGATGCGGACCATAAAATTCAACTATTAAATAAACAAAATCTTTTGTGAAGGTGTAAATAGTTTCTGTGCAGTGTGCTTTGTATTATTACTGTATATATTTTAATATGTAAAGTCATTTGACTCATTCCTGTCTTCAAGCATACTTATTATATAGTTTGTTAAATATAATTCTTAAATTATTTAAGCTTTTGAGTTCAATATAATTTTATCTATGTTTTGCTTTTGAGCATACCAACAAATTCATTGCCAATGTCTTTTTGTGACGTATGAACAGAAATAGTTTTTGGTTAAAGGGTTTATTAAAAAAGTATTGTATTTTAAAATTTGATCGATATAGTTTTATGAAATGTATCCAGTATTAGTTTATTCTTACACTTGTCTCTGATGAATACAGTAGTGATGTACTTATGAAAAAATGTTATCAATCATTTCCATACAAACATTTATGAACTATTTGTGCAATAACATTGATCTCAAAAATCAAAAATTGATTTCTGTTCATCTTGGGTTTATGTATTTTTGTGCTTCCATAGCCCTTTTGCTAATGTTATTACAGATCATAGATTTATATATTATTTCTGTAAATTAAAAAATATATAAATATATATATCGGGGGGGAGATTCTATAATGTAAGAGAGATTTTATTGTATTGTATGTGTAGTTTGTATTGTAGGCATTTGTTTTTCTTAACAAAAATGTAAGGCTCATTTATATATGTTTTGTTTTGTATATTTTTATGATTTATGATTTAGTTTTCCATGACATAAATATAGTTTATGGTTTAGGCGGAGTTTTCTTTTCTGAGAACAAGTGTTTACTTGTTATCAGAAAATGTGAACATACCTATGAAACCTAGCATAGCTAGTTCCACCAAAGAAGATGTATATGAGTTTATTTTTGTGCAATAAGATAATTGCAATTATTTTTTGATTTTACGTTTATCGTCTTTATTTTATATTTTGATTTCGTAAATATAATTAGTTGTAAATTTGGTATAAAATGTATTCATAATATTGCCTAGATCTGATAATTTATTATGACGTTGCTTATATGAAATTTTAAATGAATCAAATTGGGCATTTCACATGTTCTCTAAATATTCTTTTGTAATTTACTTATAATAATATGTATAAATAAAAAAAAGTGATGACATAAACTGTTCTTTATTCACCGGTTTTTATTTATGTAAATTAATGGTTAATTATATTTAATACAATGTTGTATGATTCTGAATCAAAAACGAAATGGAACAACCTAGAGACTAAAGTTGTTTTCTTAGGTGAAGGGGTCTGTTAATAGATTAGGAAAGACCCGACTTCAATCTCAAAAACTAAATGATAGAATTTAAATTAATGTACTTGGTATAGTAGCAGTATAGCAGTGTTTCTTTTCTACCAATGCCACCAGAAAGTTTTTAGGAAGAGAACACCTTCAAACAGGTGATCAAAACTCAAAACGCATATCTACAAGTGCTTACAGTTTTGTCTCATGTCTTGATGATCCAAAATTATAGATGAAAAATTACTGTTCCCAAAATGATGAATAAGCAGTGATAGAGTTTATTGTAAACCATCACTAATTTTTTAAACAAAACCAATTCTTTACCAAAAACAAATCCAGGAATTAATGATGTAACATAGAGCACAAGGCCTGGATATTTAGTATTTTTATTGAGGATAGGAGGCTTGCCCGAATGGGAAAGTCTAAACTGGCACAAGAGACACAAAACTTTAAAATATTTCACTGTCACTGACAACTATTTCAACCAAGGAAAATGTTTACCTTGTATATCAATTATCAATCATTGAGATGGGGACGCCACCTAGGTGCGTATTTTAACCCAAATACGAGCAAAGGATGAGTGTAGAATGGTGTGTGCGATGACCTGTGTAGCTTTGTTACTGACTAAGATCAGCGGTTTCATTAGTCAGGATCATTTATTTAAAGGATCAGGAACAGCTGGGTCCCGTTTCGAACCATCAAAAAGCTACTGACTTTTCTCAGGATAGAAGCCTAATCTGTTAATCTTACCTAACTAACCAAACGATATTATCGAATATTCTATATATCGATCGATATTTTCATTCGGTTGTTTGTGCCAACAGATACGGAAGTCTACACAAAGTATAAAAAAAATAACATTATGTCCGATGAATGATAATCCTGTAATGATTGTATGATAATTGATGTGTGGCTTTCCACACATTTTTAATCAGACTGTTATTTATGTATTATGATGTTTTGTGTACAAAGTTTTGTTCCAGTTTGGACTCTTCCCCACTCAGGTAGTTCGGCCACAGTTACTGTGCGCGAAGCCAGAACTGGTCCAGGTCATGGCAGGGGTACTTTTTTGAAAACGTTGGTGTCTTGCTACTCCACGTGACTCACTCAACCCTAGCCCAAGCACTGCCAAAAACCGGCACCCATATGTTTTAGTGCTGCGGGCGTAGTAGCGGCCCACATGCACAGAAGTTTTGGCCAAACTGTATGACTGGTTTGTAACTAAAAATCCTATAAATCCAGGAATCGTATTGATTTACAGACCAAACGTTTGAAAAGTTAAATAAAAATGTTAAAGAGGCCCCCAATTAGAACCATGGAACACTACTAGAATGTTTGTAAATAGATTAAAATACTAGCATATTTTAACGAAAACAACAAAAAAACCCCTCCACCACAACAGATAGTTCCAGATAAACCCATACAACCCTTGCACAATTAGTTGGAAACGCAGACTAGTTAAAACTGCAGTCCTGCGTTCTATTGAGTGTAGCTATTTGATATATGTATTGTTAGCAGTGCTAGTGACAAAACCTATAGTGGTTTTCAAATTTACAGCCATGTTTATTATTATGAAATCTTTCTCTTGTCTTCCAAGATGGATGAAGAATATATAATTTACTCGGTATGAGTGTGATTTTATAAGTATGATTTACTCGGTAGCTATACTGCTTAACACAAATGTAATTAATGCTTTTACCTATGACCGTTTTTTAAAGTAGCCGTTCACTTCAGTTCTTAGAATTGAAAAGATTCAAACAGCATTCTTTTACTTAACAACACGAGTAGGCTAACAATAAATGAGGTTCAAGGATTGAGAGAAAATAAGTTAAATTGAATTTTTTTGAACTTTATAACTACTAATCAGCTATTAAGACCCATTTAATTGTTAATGAGTGGCGCAATTAGTGTTTGGTACAATAACTTGTTGCATCACTGTCAGTGGCAATGAGATGTTATAAACTAAAAAACTTTTTAATAATAAAAAATTCTTATTGTTTATATTTATTTAGCCTTATTGCCCGTAAACTTTAGGCTACTATTATGACGTTCATCCATTGCATGTGTTGTACATAGCATTAACGATGAATAAAAATTCTTGATTCTTGATTCTTAAAACATAACCCCTCACAGAAGTTATGAGTAGTGATTGTTAGTAATTAAAAAACTGTCGTTGGTAAAGTAGTGTATGCAACTCGGGTAAATAGTCTTAAGGACACTCCTAAAAGTTTAAAGGCACTCACCAAGACTCGTACCTTAAATTTATAATCGTGTTGTTAACACTATCTTTACGCAATCGTTGCGTAAACAACTACTATAACAGAACAGTCCAAATCCTCATCATATTAGTTTGTCTAACCTTATATCGTCACATCATTGATTAGTCTAATAATAAAAGTCTGCTTATTTCAAAATAAGGTGTTAATTAGTGTAAACTTTGGCTTCAAAACAGTAACAAAATAAACAATATCAGATTGTATTTTATTATGGAAATAACAAAGTAGTTCACATTTAACGCTTTCTGCGAAGTTGCAGAGTGTTCCTTCTCTTCCAGGCGGCCCGGCGAGAACCTCCGTTGGTCTGAGAGAACCGATGACCTTTGCCCAGGCCTCGCGACTTGCGACCGGCTGAAGTCTTGCCTCTCATTTCACGATGTTTGTGAACTGCGTTGACGATCCAATTGACTTTTGCGTCTCGTCGGATTGCCTGCACATAAAAATATATTATTTTAACAACGACAAAAAATAGGGTTCCTAAAAGAAATTAATAATCAATTTGGTTGTAAAATATTGGAGCCTAAAATATTTGCTTGCTTAAGACTTAATTTTGTACATTGGTTCAAAGGGTTCTTTTCGCCCATTATATCCAAGGAAGAGTTCATTTTTAATTTTCGTTAATTGAGCATTTTACTCAGGGAGTGCGGCTGGAGCTCAGGCCTATATGCGAGGGTCCCGACTCACGGACGTGAGCACTCAATAATCCGTCGTAATCCCTTGCGTCTGTGTGTGAAGCCTGCATGTGTGTGAGTAGGGGCTGATCCTTTGGCCAGCCGCACTTCCTGAGCCAACAGAGCACAGTTCAAATCTGAGGCTATCATTGTGTTCCTTACTTTATCCACTACTATTCTAGCCGGTTCACTCATGTAGGACAATTAGTATCGCCATAATATTTGAAAACTTTGTGAAAGAAAATTGAAGTACCCGCCAAAAGTATAACTACCTTTTTGGCATTGGATAATATCTCAAGTGTTTAATGTAGAAAATGATGCAAAGGATAGTGGGTGTTTAGAAGTGGTCTCAAGCATTTGCATTATGTTTTTCACGGCATTGGCCGAATGCTGTCATTCATTTGTCTCATTTGAAGAAGTGACCAAGGTTAGAGGAAATTTCAATTCTGATCACGGAGAGACTGGAAGAGAGAGATTGTAGAACTAATACGGGACGTCTCGTATAAGACTATCAAGGTCTAAGGTCAGCCTTGGAAGCCTGCAACACGCCACTCGGTAAGCAAAGTTTCCTCAAATTCAATCACTGTCTTAATGGAAACTTATGAATACTCGCTGCTAGCTCCATTGAGCAAATGCATACAACCTTCTACCAACTCCCTAAGCCTTATGCTTATTACTTATGCACATTTTCTAGGTCAAAACACTTTTCTGTGTACACTTTTCTGGGGTTGGAACTGGCTACAATAGAGGTGGATGACAAAGGATCACAATGTTTCGGTCTAAGATTTGAACTAACATGTTTGGCTGCGACAGGACCTCGATGAAGACCTTAATTTATGGACAGGCGTTGTAATTTTAACTAATATTGCAAATATGCAAATTTGTTAAATATTGGAATGATCTTTAAAGAAAGACAAGTATCTTCTTGGACTAAGACCAGTTATGCCGAACATTTAGTATCGGAATTGCACACCTACACATCTATTGATAAAAACATGGAAATAGTTTAAGTATTACCAAAAAGTGTTAAGCTTGATGTTAAAGAAGAATTCCCCATCTACAAAGCTAAAAACTCGACCCATGTAACATTTTAAACAGAATTCATTCTGGTCAAATATTATATTTGATACTTATATTGACAAGTTACAAATCAAAGAGGTATAAAACAAGAAGAACAAAACAAACTGAAATACAGGTGGCACTCTGGAGAGAAGAAGAACCACCATGATTCAGTCAGTATAATTTAGACAATGGTAGTGATAAGACAGTGCTGGCCAGTCTGAACAGTTTTAATAAGTTTTATATATTTGTATTCCATTTTAACTATTTTATCAATATGACAAGTTCCATATTGTGATTGTGTGTATTATTGTGATTGTAACAGTTTTTTTATAGAATCTGTTTATATACCACAATGTGTTTATACACTGATGATGTGATTGCATACAAAATGACCTGATGAAGTTCTAAGGGACGAAACTAGTCGCCATACCAACAACTGTGGTTGGCTAAGGTGATGATTGTATTTTATCATTAATATATTCCCACCAAGGATCACAATGAGTAATCTATTTAGGCCTAGTTCTTTAAATAGAGGTTGGACTCTTCACATATTCCTTACACAGGGGCTATAACCATAGGCAAAAAAAGAATGAAATATAGACCGTCAGCCATGCTGCGGTTACCATAGGCTACGTAACTACACAGCGCTCCCAGAGGTGTGCGCCAGAACCTATGGTAACCATGGTAAAACGGCTGAAAGTCTATATTTAATTCTTTTTTTGCCTAAGGTTGCCCCTGTGTAAGGAATATGTGAAGAGTCCAACCACTATTTAAAGTACTGAAATATTACACATCCAACGCTATAACTAACATATTACAAATTTCGGCCGAATTTAACGTCAATTTAACAATCCTTGTTTTTGAAATCCCCCTGTATAAAGAATATACTTCTTAGGCCCTTCAAATTCATTTAATCGAGGTTCCACTCTATTCCTAAAACTTATGTAAGTTTTTAGTAAAAATAAACCTTATAAAATAGATTTTTAAACAAGCTTTTACCATCCAAATAAAAAAGTAGCAAGGCAGAAATCCTTGAAACATTTTCTAACGTACCTTACTTTTGTCCAAGATTTTGTTATCAAAAGTAAGGACCATTAAGCAATTAAATCTCAACCAATAACATAACAATTTGTTCACATATTCAGTAGGCCTATTGTAAGGTGAGAATTACACAAATTGCCTATGATGTAGCACAATAAACAGTATTGCACTAATTTAAGACTACTTTGCAAAGATCAAATTCCGATCCTACACTTCCATTTGCCATGATAAGGCAGTTCTGTTTCCAGACATATTATTTGTAATCTCTCAAGGAAAAAAAGGGTATCCTAACGAAAGTAGGATATATTTTTAGCCATTACCTTGTGGGATGGATCAACGCAGATGACTTCAAAATATTTGTATGTAGAATCCTGGGCGACCCAGTAAGAGTTTAATACTCTCAGACCCCCGCAACGACGTCCAACACGTTCCTGAAATTGAAACGGAAATCGGATTATTTGGGATGATTGCACATAAAACTCACTTCAAACTGTCATTTACTCATCATTTATCGATCTCTACAACCACGATACACGATACAACTGGATTGTAATGCTCAGAACTAGGCATGCATCAGGTCCTACTACAGTGGTGAACCACACTGCTGCAGCCATACACTTCATTTGGGGCTACCATTAACAAAATTAAAATTATTACAAACACCCAACTATTTTGATGTGAAATCTATAGGCCTACTATAGTCTCTACAGTTTCAAACAGATTAAAACTGTGTAAATTTACTGTATTAGAAATCAAGATAGTGTGGACATAGAGATAAGGTCATAGGATGTAGTGAGTGCAAACATGGTAACGCCATAAGAGGTAGAGGTAATGTGTAAGAGAGTTCACCTTTAAGTGAGTCGAGCAGTCGGACCGAAAATCCAGCACAGAAGGTGAGATCCAGTTGTAGTTATCCATTGTAGGAATCCATGGTGTTATTTACATTAAATACAAGATGATTTGACTTTAATATAATGTAACATACCTATATAGTATATATACAGGGTGTCCCGTATCTCTCTGGACACATGTATATAGCGTTATTTCTTAGATCAAGACAAACACATTTCACCATAGGAACATGGGTCTGTGGTGTCTAGTTTACCGACTGTCGGCATTTATGTGTTTTTTACAAAAACATTAATAACTCCTAAACAGTTTGAGATACAGCGTTGAGATTTTGCAGAAATTTTAATCTTATTAAGGCTTATCTTTGTTTAAAATTATACTAAAAAATCATTAACCGTTTCAAAATGGCAGCCATTTAAAATATTTTATGCCAAATTTCATGAAAACCGTTAACTTGACAAAAAATTTGTAAGCGACGAAAAAGTTTGTAAATTTTACAAAGTGTTCAATGATATCTTATTTGTTAACATTGGATTAATAATAACAGAGAAACATGTTGTTTTCGTAATGTATGACCACTTTTCTCCATTTAAAAATGCTAATACTCCTTTTACATTGTCTAAATATCTTTACAATCATCTGTTATACGTCAATCAGGAGTTTTAAAACATAACAGTTGATTTAATCGTTTGTTTTTGTTATTTGTAAAAATATTGTTGTATAAACGTTACTGCAAGTCTTTACTAGTTGCTTACGATTCTTACAACCCAGTTAAAGTAATTATGTATTGTGTTTTACGTTATTAAGTTGGTCGTTTAGTCCTGAATGTGAGCAAAATGAATAGTTACACATCACAGGAGTATTGTTATCACAAGGGCTGCTTCTAAGGAAGTAGGTGGTCTATTTTTTTGGAATGGCTCGTGGCAGTGCAAGAGGAGCGGCAAGATTGTATGCAGAACACTATCCAAACAGGCAATTTCCTACCTAACCATAAGACATTTAGTGCTATGTACAACAGATTGGGGGAAAAGGGAACCTTTAAGGTAAATATGAGTGACACTGGGCGTGATAGATCAGTTCGTGATGTTGAGATCGAGGAACGCATTCTTGATCGGTTTGAGACTGATCCGTCGGTAAGTGTTAGAGCAGTAGGGCAAGAACTTCGTTGCAGTAAGAACACTGTGTGGAGAGTTTTAATAGGGGAGAAACTTTACCCGTACAGTCCCCAAAAAGTACAAGCCTTGAAACCAGAAGATTTCCCCAGAAGGGTGAACTGTGCTGGCTGATTCTTGGAAAAAGACTTACAATAAAAATAACCCTCGATTTCTTGAAAACGTTCTGTTTACAGACAAAGCTAGTTTTACCAGGGATGGGATATTTAACAACCGAACAAGGCATGTCTGGGCAGAACAAAATCCACATGCTATTTTTGAAGCTGGGCATCAAGAAAAGGTTTCGATTAATGTGTGGGCAGGTATTATAGGAAACTTCCGTGTTGGGCCCTACATTTTACCAAATCGGCTGAATTCACCAACCTACTTGGTGTTCCTTAGAGATATTCTTCTTGAGTTGATGGAAGATGTCCCCCTTTATGTCCCCGAAAATATGTGGTTGTAACATGACGGAGCCCCTGCCCACGATGGCAACATAGTCCGCGACTACTTAAACCTCACTTTTCCAAACAGCTGGATTGGGCGTGGAGGGCCGACACCGTGGCCCGCTCGATCACCCGACCTCACTCCTCTCGACTTTTTTCCTTTGGGGCACAATTAAACAATTAGTTTATAGTACACCTATAGAGAGTGAGATGGACTTAGTAGCTCGAGTGGTTGAGGCAGCCGCGATAATAAAAGAAGATTATGACCAAGTTTTTGGACATGTTCAATGATCCATGATTGATCGTTTTAGATTATGTAACCGAGTTGACGGTCGTCATTTTGAACAGTTGTTGTAGGTACTTGTAAATAAATGTAAATGTAAATGTAAATAAATGCAAATTTAAATAAATGTAGGCCTCTTGTAAATAAAGAAGGACCATAAGGTATTGTCCAATTGTATTTATTAATTACAAAACAAATGTTTACATTATCAATGTTTTTTTTGTTTTTTTTATTTAGTGAAAGATTAATGTTAATTATAATAAACAACAACTTATACTTATAAATAACAAAAATGATTAAATCAACTGTTTTGTTTTAAAACTCCTGATTGGCGTATAACTCATTTATTTATTTGTTAACGGTTGCACCATTTTTACATGAATAATACAATAATTTTACATGCAGAAGAAGCAGAAAAAAATCACAGGCCAGTACAAAAGTTCATCTGTTGTAAAGATATTTAGACAGTGTAAAAGGAGTATTAGCATTGTTTAAATGGAGAAAAGTGGTCATACATTATGAAAACATTCTTTGTTATTATTAATCCAATCTTAACAAATAAGGTATCATGAAAACTACGTAAAATTTAAAACTTTTTTGTCCCTTGCAGTTTTTTTGTAAAGTTAACGGTTTTCGTAAAATTTGGCATCAAATATTTTAAATGGCCGCCATTTTGAAACGGGTAATGTTTTTTTTAGTATAATTTCTAACGATAATAGTTCTTAAGAAGATAAACATTTTTGCAAACTATCAACGCTGTATCTCAAACCGTTTAGGAGTTATTCGATTTTTTGTAAAAAACACATAATTGCCGACAGTCGGTAAACTAGTCACCACAGACCCATACCCTCTGCATACACCCATAGGTTTGCTGCACATACCCATATTCCTATGGTGAAATGTGTTCACTACTACACATACACCATACTCCCCCCATTATGACCCCAATTATTTCATTATTATTATTATTATGACTGGACAATGTGGTCCAGTGTGCTGGATGGGTCACTGTTAGGTGGATGTTATTATTAAACATCGGCCTAACTCTGCAGGAAGGTTTGTGGGACCTGTGGGGTAAGAACTGCATAGGTGTGGGGGTAGGTCAATGTATATAGGTTGTCTTGACCTAGGGAATAACACTATATACATGTGTCCAGAGAGTTATGGGACACCCTGTATATAAATATATATATATGTCCGTCTGGACGATAACGTAAGTAGTTTTTGTCCGATTTTGATGAAATTTGGTTTGAAGGTGTAAGGCGGGATAACTTGAATGAGTTCGCGAACCAGCATGATCGGACCATGGGAACAGGGTTTAATGGGGTTTTATGGGGTAAAAATTGGTTTTTCTCATTTTTGATACTCAAAACAAAAAATTTCCCAATTTCTCTGTAGACCTTCTTAAAGAGCTTAAAAAAACAAATAATTAAGTATATCAAAGTTTTTTTGTACGGTTATTGGTTAGGCCTACAGAGAAAACTAAAAAAAAATTTAAATTCCCATGTTATTCTTGTGGAGAATATTGTAAAATGTTGTAGTTTGCTAGTTTAAGGATATTTTGATCAAACTTGGCAAAATTATTGATTTTATACTAAGCTATAATTATTTTACTAAAAACACACTTTTTTAGTTTCCTTGTAGCAGCAAACCTAGATACTCGTTTAACAAAATGTTATAAAAATAGATTACCGGTAATTGAAAATGAATTCGGGCAAATGGAAATTTGCTTAGACGGCAGGTTTGCTGCGCTGGGGGTATTTTATGAATCTACTAACCTCCGCAACAGACTGCAAATTACGGGTCGGTTTGAGTTGGTTGACTCCATGGCTCTTAGGTTTGCCGTAAGTAGCTCCCTTAGGAACTGGGCGTTTGCGGCCTCCTCTGCGTACTCTGATACGGAATATGCAAAAACCTGAAAAATTAAATTTAGGTTTGATTCTTATTACCATTGCTTAATGCTTACAAATCTTATTGTCTACTTATGTACTAGGCCCATTTGGAGAAAAGACTTAATCCAACAGGATTATGTTTAGGAAAAATTTAAATCCATAGGTACTTGTGCTAGAGAAAATAGTACACAAAAAAATTGATTGAGAAAAATTGAAAAAAAGACAAGGAGATTTTATAATTGTGCTGTTACTATTCCAAGATCATAAGTTATCAAAGGATACTGAAAATAGATCATTAATTGTAAGCTCCAACTTTTAATTATATAACGAAACAAGATTCTTTTTAAGTATAAATCATACTTATCTTTTAAATTCACTAAATGTAAAATGAGAGGTTTGAAATCAAATATCCTTTATTATGTATGTAATAAATTAGTCAAAATTAGAATGACAAAATAGCCAAAGATAATTACCTTCCTTATTTCTATATCCGAGTCGCCTTGCCTTATCAGGGCGGGTGGAACGGGGCGCTCGATGCATTTTAGTCATTTGGCGGTATTGCCAGACTCTGATTCGAAGCAGAAACCTCAACACATCGCTTTGCTTCTTGCGATATAACTCCTGAACATATTTGTAGGCACCCATTTTGATGCCTGGCCGATCTGTAATAGAACAATAAAATGTTAGAGTACATCTAAACTTAATTAATTTGATGAATTATATACACAAAAGAAAAACTGTAACAATGTTTTTACTTGAAGCTAAAACGCTCTTATAACTGCAGTGGAAAGCACTAAATGTATTAATTTGCAACTGGGGTAATGGGTTGGAGAGCCGATTATTTGGTCAAAGATTTATAACTACCTACCTTCCAGTTGGATGTCAGTTCAATTGTCTCATCTTACCTAACTCTGCAAAGACTCTTCATTCAGAGACATTCATTAACTTATATGGCTTTGATTTAAAAAAAAAATTATAGGCTATCTACGAGGATGTCTATCGAGCTCCCATTTCAGCCAAGCAAGCTAATTCAAACCTGAGACCAACATTGTGTTCCTTACTTCATCCACTACTACTCTAGCCATCCCCCAACCCTATGGGACGATTAGTCTCCTCATAGTAATCAAAAATGAAAAAAAAATTACACTCCCGCTAAGTATGAAGTGCATTCCGTGATAAGCTTTCTGTAAAAGGAGGTAAATACTGTTGATTATCAACTGTTGCCAATTGACAGGTGTAGGCCTATATAAAAGGTGTTGGCATTTTTTCATAGTCAGCCATTTTTGAATAATTTAGGCTTAAGAAATTAAAATGGCCGCCATTTTGACATTTTAAGGTGAATCAAGATGAATCATTTTTATAACATGGGTCTCTCCTACCTTAACATACATACAAAGTTTCATAAACATCGGTTGGAAAAGTCTTAAGATAAATATTTGTATGTAATGAATACAAAATGGCGGATATCTGGTTAACGAAGCGATTTTGGAAAAAATGTTATTATTAATTTTCTGTTTATTTTGACTTATGGAATCACTAGGTAAAATATGTCCCCACCTTTTTTGAGCACCCTGTATAAGCAAAGTGTTTTGAGGTAGAAAAGGTGCACAAGTGGCTTAGGATGTTTGTCCGTTACCATCGAGTCAGTGACTGAATTTCCGAAAGCTTTGCTTGTTAATCGGTGGATTTCAGACTTTCAACGCCGATTGTGGTCCTTGTTAATTTTACAGAAACGTTCACTGTTAGTTCGATAAGTTACCATCTCTTTAATAGTCATACAATCATCCGCATGCACAATTTCCCAAACTTTGTTTACTGATTCTAACAAGACTGAGGAACAATAGCAGTCAGCCGACACAATGGAAAACATTGTGCAATTGTTTAAGACCAGCTCGAAATAACTCCACCCATTGTGTACATCTTCTACATGCAAACCATTAACTCCACTTTACGTCTGTCAAACGGCGATAAACTTCAATAGAGGTTGAAAAGTTAAACCACAGAGCGTGATTAATACTTGGCGGGAGCATTTCTTTCACAACGTGTTTAAATACTATGACAAGGACAAGACTAATCATTCTATAGAATCAAAAGCCGGCTGGAAGAGTATTGAATAAAGTAAGGAACACAACATTGGTCTCAGATTTGAACTAGGTTACTCTTGACTGTGATGAGAGCTCTATAGAAACCTTAATTTAAGGACAACCCTCGTATAATAAAGTAAAAGAAAATTGTTGAATATTTAAGCTAGGCCTAACCCAGCATTAAGACTGGAGGTGCAAACCACTATATACGTGGGAAGGTATGGGGGTTTAGTGAGTGGGAGAAAATTTCGCGCCATTCCGGCCAAACCTCGCACGCGGGGTTGGTTCGGCAGATTGGCCACAACCTAAACCCCAACTCTCACTTGTTAGCTGCGGAGAGCTACCTTCTGCCACTGGGTGTTGGTCCACCTACAGAACCAAGTGAGGGGGGCCCTAGACTAAGGTGTAATGTGATCCGTGCCAAGAGTCTTGTAGTACTGGGGGCCTAATATTCAGTGTCTTAATTGGCCTTCTGGGAACCAGGGGTAACCCATTCGTACGCACCCCTTACCTCTCTAATCGGGTCACTGGGGAGGTGGACTTAGATACCCGGTATTCGTGAGAACAATGTAGACAATCTGACCCAAATGGAGGAGGAAGGTCTACTAAAATCTGACGATGACAACAAGCTCGCAGAAACCGGAAAGGAACGAAAAACGACTTTCCAGGGGCGAGTTGCAAAGATGGAGGATAGCGGATGCTTTAGCCAAAGGCGAAAAGGTGCTATCCAGAAGTGAGAGGAGGCTGGTGTGGGCTGCCAAGCACCCTAACTCTGCTCCCTGCAAAGCCAGTTCCTCCGGGAACTAGGATGCTGGGAAAAAGCAGGGCAAGGGTGGTACCCCCAAAGCTGACTCTAATGAAGCCTCCAGGAAGAAAGGTGGAGGCTGTGCTGACACAGCCACAAAGGATTGGCTGGTCAAGCAAGTTCAGGAGCTGAGTCCTTTCAGGGAAATCTCGCTACAACTTGCCCTGGGAAACCTGTGAAGGTATATTTATGTGCCCAGCCCTACAAGGTATGCGTATGAGATCCCTCGTACGAAAAACTACTTTCCAGGGGTGAGTTGCAAAGACGGAGGATAGCGGATGCTTTAGCCAAAGGCGAAAAGGTGCTATCCAGAAGTGAGAGGAGGCTGGTGTGGGCTGCCAAGCACCCTAACTCTGCTGCCTGCAAAGCCAGCTGCCTGCAAAGCCTCCCGGAACTAGGATGCTGGGAAAAAGCAGGGCAAGGGCGGTACCCCCAAAGCTGACTCTAATGAAGCCTCCAGGAAGAAAGGTGGAGGCTGTGCTAACGCAGCCACTTGGCTGGTCAAGCAAGTTCAGGAGCTGAGTCCTTTCAGGGAAATCTCGCTACGGCTTGCCCCAGCCAGAGACCTTGTAAAAGCTGTGAAGGTATATTTATGTGCCCAGCCCTACAAGGTCTGCGTATGAGATCCCTTGGCCTATTGATGGGAGATCAAAGGGAAGAACAGGTTACCATAGTCAAAAGGCTCTCACGGTTCACCAAGGACCTGGGATTTGACGGAGAATGAGGACCTGTGAACAAGGGTGCACAATAAGCTGTTCTAGCTGCGATGCAATTCCATGGTAACTTGTAAGCCTGGCCCTCTGTTAAAAAAAAATAATAAAAAGAAACTATATACGTGAATTTTTCTCCAACTTTCAAGCAGAGTTCTTTAGCATGAAATTTAGATGTTAATAAAATGATTCAGATAAATGTATCAATAAATTGAGCTAATAATAATTAGGCCCATGACACTCCGAAACTGACATGAGCTGTGCTAACTTTTGTGTTTGATGTTTTATGACTCTCAAGTCGTATGAATGTGCAACTTGCACGCAGACGATTGATAAAATCTGCAGGGTACACACGAATATGACAGAATTGGAGCAGTGTTCAAGTCATATCCTAGTGAAAGATTAGTTTTGGTCTCTCTCAGACAGGCCAAAATTGCTCGTCTGTTGTGCTGTTGGTGGGGATGGGGAATTGACTCATGGGCCTAACAACTAGCAAGTTGTACCTCAATACGACAGAAGTCGGTGTGTGTGACGGGCCTTAAGTTAAGATGAAGAGAGGGAAATTTCTACTATAAATAACTTTACATTAAATTTTACCTGAAGATCTGAGAGGTTAGGCCTAAGTTATCCTAGGCCTATGCAAAAGATAAATCTAAATTTTAATTTTTTTTATGGCTTTGACGAATGAACTTAGCATCCATGGTTACATATAATGAATTGGCATAAGTTAGCTGAGGGTTTTGCTGATAATAAAAACATTAAGTTTACAGTAATGCTAAAACCTAGTCAATATGACTTTTTTATTTTAAATTTGTATTTCAAATGTTAGTTGATAGTTAGTCTTGGTAAAGTTGACTTGTCTAATCCATGTACATTGTCAATCTGGCTAAATAAATGAGTTATAGAGTTACTACAGTACTTTTAAGGTAACTTAGACCATTGAATTTTGACTTGAAAAAATATTTATCTTTGAAATGATAATAGTGTAAGGCGTATGCAAATAGATCATATGATTTTTTATGTGCCTATTTCAACATGTGTGAAGGTACAAAGCTATAAAACTATAAAAGCTGTCAAAATAGGGTTGTTGTTTTATTTCCTAATGCAGGCTAGGGTATAGCTGTGCTTAACCTAAATGTCAGTAGGCCTTATTCAATGGGGAAATTAGATAACATAAGGTTTTAAAGTGTTATTAGTAAGAAATGTCGCTGATCAAGAGAACCATCCAAAATGAAATTTAATATATACTAAAAGAGATTAAAGTGGATAAAATTGTTCGATGTAAATACTAACTTACTTTTTAGTTTTTTCGTCTTAGCACTTTATAGCAGGCAGGAAAAGAAGAAGTCTTTCCCCCCTCTACTTTCTAATCACAAAACAGCAGGCAGGCTAAACTTTTAGCTCGTACAACAGCTTCTTTTCTTTTTTTGAGGAATGCGAAAAAATGGAATTATGTTGGCAGCTTAAATTCATGTAATGTTGTGCTTCGTTCAAGTTTTAAAAATTTAAAAATAACCTAACAAAGATATTTTAAATAAAATAAGCAAACATTAAATTATTTGTCAACTTCCGAAACTTGTCAACCATATTATTTGTAAAAATAACCTCACCACAGCAAACCTACATACTAAGTGAATTTCAATTATCTAATTGGATTTTTTTAATATCCCCATAAAGTCGTATTTTCCACCTATTTATATAACATTATATTTACAAGTACTTAGGTTTGATACTGCGGGGAAGGGAACAAGTTTATTTATTTATTTGTTTTTTTTTTATTGAATGTTAATAGTACATGATGAAATAAATAAATTTGCCAAACTTGATCAAACCACAGCCATGCAAAAGCAAACTACAACAGTGTTTTTGTCTCTGTAATAATAACGTGGGAATTTTAAATGTACCGGTACAGCTTTTTATTTGTTTAGGTCTATATGATGGTTGCAAAGAAAATTTGACATTTCTATTTTAATGGTAAAAATAAAATAAAATAAAAAACATTTTTCCCATGACATCCCATTCTTGACCCGACCTTTCTGATTGCTCTATAGTCCGGTTGCCAAGCCCAAAACCCAAAAATTTTGGATTTTTTTTATTATGGATAGTTACTAGGACATATACAGCTTCCAGAAAATGCACTGGACATTTTATCACCTTTGGGCAATTCGAGTTTTCACCGCCATCTTGAATTTTTCCAAATATTTTTGTATTATTTATATATATGTAATATAGGGTTCTTGTATATCATTTTATATGTTTTTATGTACGCTGAGTTCAATGGTTGCACTAAAAAGTATCTAGAAATAGCCATTTCTTAGAAACCGCCACTATTTAAAACTTTTCCAAATATTTTAGGATTATTTTTATATTTATAGGGTTGTTTTATATAATTTTATATGTTTTTATGTGCTGAGTTCAATATGGAAGCACTAAAAAGTATCTATAAATAGTCATTTCTTATAAATCCTCACCATATAAAAAAGAATAATTTAAAAACAAAACTAAAAATAATTGGCATTTTGTAAAGTATAGGTGTTGTGAATAATTATTTTTAAAGAACGCCGCTTTTTATTGTACACAAAAGTGGATATCTCAAGTAAACAATGTAATAGGTGAAATTCTGATATTGGTTACATAATTGTATGAAATAAAACATTTATGGCTAAGAACAAACATTGTCCAAACAGAGTCTGCCACTGGTTCTTCAACAGGGTCTTCTTCCCAATCTACTTCTAATTCGGCAACACGTGTCAAATCTTTGGAAAAGGAACTGTTTGAGCATTTACAGAACATGGTGCATGGTAGGCTGGCACTCTTGCAACTACACCGATTGCTGTTGCAAGGCAATACGTTTCTACAAGAGCACTTAACCAAGTTCAAAATTTCCGGTGGGGCAATCAAAATATTTTGCGGCATAGTTGTGGGTAGGAGCAAGGCCCCACTAGAAAAAACAGGCCATGCTGCAGCACGGGCAGCGCAACACTACTTCACAGTGGTGGATAGTTGTACTAAACTCTTACCATTAAAATCTTACAAACAACCAGCTTGTTTATTTACCTAAAACATATGGAAATTGTGATGGCAATTAATTTATCAACGAAATCTATCCACTAGTGTTACGTCATGAATCCTGCAGCATGGCCTGTTTTTCTAGTGGGGCCTTGGTAGGATCGGCATCTTGAGTTTTCATCCTTGTAAAAACCGTGAAGCAGTGGATGCTTCCAAATACAGGTTTGAAGGTGTACTCTCTTGAGGTTTTCTTCAAACGCTGAATTTGTTGGTGGTAGTGTGCACAGTTTTGGCAGTTGAGTTGTTGCACTTCGAACTTTGTCAGCCCACAGTTTGACACGAGCCCCAGAAGTTGTCTTACAATTAGATACACCATAACATGCAGACATAAACTTCGATGCTTGCAGCTTTATGTCACAAAAATCAGCATGTATATCTCAAACCAATGATAAGGAGTGTCCATACTTTTCAAAACCTTAATGGCTTTAATCTTTCCGATTCCATATCACATTCAGTGATAGCGATAGCATGAGCTGCAAGCACATCAGGTATTATTTCCTTAGGTTTGACGACAGATGCTCCAATGTCAATTCTTGAGCGACCCTGGACAGGGGATTCCATCAGAATAGTTGCAGAATTTTTTTTAATTGTAGAAGTAAAGGAGGAAAAGAAAAACATCTGTGTCATCTGATACAACAACGATCTGCTTGTCTTCATCGTCAGCAGCTAATGTAGCTTGTTGTACAATAATAGTCAGCTTCTTCGTGAGAATTTCATAGATCGTGCCTTAGTTGTAGTTCTCCACGATAAATCTGGTAGGGTTCTTCCTTGAAGACCTGTTACAATGAGCCTGTGTTAGGTAGTATTGTCATTGTTGAAAGATTCGTCTCTAATAATGCTACTGAAAATCAGTTCAATAAATCTTTTTTGTTTTCATTTGAGCCCAAAATATCCCTACGTTGAGGCAGAGGTGTTGTATATGTTAGTACGTGAACTTTTTTGTCATTCCTGTAGATCTACCCGATCTTGTGTGATCCTTGTTAAGTTATTTTTTAATAAAAAATTAGCGACAGCTGGTCCATATAGATGGAATGTCTACTTCAGTATCCAATAGTCAATGTTACTACAGTATATTGCCTGTACCGATCAAAAATCAGGTTCACATTTCCGTGTTGCAAATGTTTGCTTATGGATATTTTAAGTGATCTAATGAAGTCCTTTAATTGCACTTCCCTTTTCTGGCCACTGCACACACCATAGAAGTGCAGATCAATCGATCACAATAAGTGTGTTTTCAATGCTCGTCTTTCTTGTCGAGGAAGAAACCTGGAGATGTTTCTTTACGGTAGATTTAGCTTTGCAGATCCTCATTTCTTCAGAATCTGTAAACATTTACGTTGGCAAAGGTGACAGTTCGTGAGACAGAACGTGACTTCTACTTGTCTTGATCTTGCCTGAAGTGCTATAACTCGGGAGTAAATTATACCTGTATCGAAAACCTTAACACTGCCATTATTTACGTGTTTCTTTGATGTAGATCCAAGCGCAACTATTTTTTTTTCACTGGAAAATGGAAACTTGCTGGCCAACCGTCTTGAAATATTTTTAATTGCTGAACACCAATGTTCACTAGTTCACTGCGTCATGTACGTTAACATTATCATATAGAATCAAGCCAGACGTTATGTTTACTATATTTTGTGGGTGAGTACTAGGCGCCAAAGAGTAAATGGAAGAGATTCAATTGGTTCTTATCCCTTATCAGTCTTTTCTATCAGAAATGATTCGAGACTGCATTTCTTCTTTAATATAATAATAATCCTAAAATATTTGGAACAATTCAAAATGGCGGCGGTTTCTAAGAAATTACTATATCTAGATACTTTTTAGTGCTCCCATTGAACTCAGCGTATATAAAACATATAAAATGATATACAACAACTCTGTATTATATATATATAAATAATACAAAAATATATGGAAAAATTCAAGATGGCGGCCAAATCTCGAATTGCCCAATGGTGACAGGATGTCACCATGCATTTTCTTGAAGCTTTACCCCATGTCCTAGTAATTATCCATTAATAAACAAAACTTAATCCAAAATTTTTGGGTTAGCCAAAAATATAGGGTTTGGCAACCGGACTACACATCAGGCCAAATTTCGTCAAACCAATTTTACACGAGTTTTAGTGTTCACTAACACACACACACTTGTATACATATTATAATATTAATAAACGGTATATCTGCAAACTGACAAGATACATCCATCTATTATTAGCTTTAGCAATAGAATCGTGTGTGGATGTGTTCAGAGCTACCATAGATAAAAAACACTCCTCAAGGAACAGCGCTCTGCTAGCTGCTGTGCCGCTGTGGTCCAATTTGACGAAATTTGGGAACTAATCCATGGTATCTCTAGCACTCCATGCCGTTTTCCATTTCTTTTGAATAGGAAAAATGGATAAGCTGCAAAAAGTGTAGTTACCCAGCAGTTAAATAGTTACTTAAGTTTATAGTTTTACTTCAGAGGCGTGCGCAAGGAGAGACATATTCCGGTATAAATGTGTAAAACTGTAAACACTTTTAAATCGTTTGCCAAAGTAAATGTATAGAAATAATTGTCACGATCAAGCTTCCTATACGTAGTTTCAAATTTTAATGTTGGATATGCAGACGGATACAAGCATTTGACTAGGTAATATGTACCAGTAACTTATGTTGACGATTTATTAAACTGGGCACCTGACGTTACAGCCGCTCCCACCCAATCCCACCACACAGTGTCCCCGATAGCCTAGTAATATAAGTTTGGGTCACATCCACACCCATATACCAGAGCTAGGCAGTATATTGATGTCTCCAGGGCAAAACTGAGCAGAACGTTAAATCCTTTCCCTACCTCATTTATTTGCTTGCTTGTGCACCTGCATGGTTTTGCTGAATTATTTTGTAGTCTTTAGTTTTTTTATTGCAGCTTTCTGTACTGTTTTTTGACAATGCCTATCGTATTTACTGTATACTGAATGGCTAATGAAATCATTTATCATTTACGTCAGCAATCGAGTTTTTCAATACACTCTCTCCCAGCATTCGTTAACTGGACGACCGGAAATTCAAGGCTGCTGTGAAATACTTTATGTTGAAAAGGGCATCCTACAAAGTAGCTGATTACTTTGAGGATAATCTGTAGCGGGGAAATTAATTTTTGTACCATCTGCTGCCTGTCCGTTATGCAAATGAACAGTTTATGACCGTACCCGACGAGTATTTATCGATAAATGAATCAAATAAAATTAATCAAAGCGTGCATCCATTGACTACACACCAACGGCATGAACCACTGTGCGTGTTTGTAATCAATGGTACAACTTGCAAGATTTATCCTGTGCAGATGTGCATTAATCACTATTGAATAATGATTGTGCACATCTGTATAATATACAGATGTGATTTGTCAAAATTTGCAATATATTGCAAATTTTGACAAAGATTGCATATACTTAATGGTATTTCTCAGACAAATAGACTTGAGATTTTACAATAGTTTGAAAAATATTCTTGAAAAATTAAAAAACAATGCTAACTAATGCATGTTACAAAGAAAGGTAATACGAAATTGCCTTACAATATTACAAGATTTTCACTCTTTTATATAGTACGAAAAGTGTTGGCTGTTTGTGGTGTCTGCATTGGTTTTAACCATATGGTCCGTTAAATGTCTACAATTTCATTGGCTGTTTTGGAAGTTTTTTTTGGTGGCGTCCGTCTGGCTAAGATGTTTGTCGTCGCCGTCAGCTTTGTTATAATGGCCGATAAAGTAATTGAGAAAAATAAATATGATAGACGCGTTGTGCACCTAGTATAGCAATATCGCCGGTAATGGGAATGATAATTGAGGTTTATCATTGTATATTTATATCATTGATTTTTAATAATTTATAACCAAGGATAACAAATTTAAAGGTAAGCAAATAATAGTGTACAAGTCTGCTACTCGATAAGGTTTGTCTGCCCAAAGAGGACTAGGCCTGAAGGATTATTCGTTACTTTTAAAATAATTTAAGTATCCACAACCCTTATATCGTTACTTTGTGGTAGGCTAGGCATAGTTTACGTTTCATTCAAAGATGTTTCGATGATAGTCCAAAATTCACCATGAAGTCCTGTAATATATTGGACTAGGCTAATCAAGAACCTCAGTTCAATTTTGCAAAATCTATCTATACCCCAGGGCTATAATGTTGCCTAAGCTGCTGATGGAACAAAATATGCTAACAACTACGTTTAGGTTAATTAGAAAATATAAAAATCATTACAAGGACTAGAGGGTGTGATCATTAATGATTGAGATATGCCTAACTTAAAATTTAGACTGGTTGGTAAAGGTTATTGTTCTAGGCTTCACTGATGGTTTTCCTTTTTTAAACTAAGTCATATTTGGGGCCATTTTTAATTTTAGCCTATTGTGTAGTCTTGTTTACATAACGGAATGAAAAAAATTTGCATTACCCAACTTACAGAGCTCTTGGGTTATAGGGCTAGAGGTACCGGTAGTTTTGGTTTTAAATGGCGGGACTTGTGTTTATAAAAATTGGATTTGTTTTTATACCTAGCCTACTTAATTAAGTTAGGCCGGAAATTATTGCGATGAGGGTGACCAAGTTATATATCGAAACTAGATTTTTACCTACTTGAAAACAATGGTGCAAACATTTTTCTGCTGTCACTAAAACTGAATTAATTACGACTTTTGAATTTTAATTAGTGTAATGCCTTTTGTCGGCTGGTCTCTGTCGCCATTACTACTGTGAATTGACTAGACTGACTTAATACAAACATGAACGATTGAAATGATCGTCTAGGGAAGAAGAAGAAACCTAAGATGACCAACAGTAAGTTCATACAAAGAGGTAGAGGCATTTGTAAATTCAACTGAACGTTGATTATGAACTACTTAAGTTCTTATTTATACATGTGAGGTTGGTAGGTTGGGTGTTATGCGGATTCGTGACTGTAATAAGTGTTTTGAAGTTAGGTTAGATTAGGAAGGTAAAGTTTAGGTTATAATGAATCGAGTTGTTGATTTATATTATCTCCAGACTGTTTTGTCAAAAAGTATTACAAATACAATAGGCTAAATAATAATTTCTAAAATGCATAGCATAGCAACCAACCTACCTACCTCACATGTCTTTTTAAACTTTTAAAACAAATTTTAAGCTGTTCGAGAAGTTTGGTTCTGGGTTATGTTAGGTTAGAACAAAGTGTCAATTTGTTTTTTATTCATTTTATTAAAACCTACCACTACACTAAGTTATTATCATAATGGGACATAGCGTTTACATGGTCAAAACCTAAGCTAAGCCACTCGGTTAAGTTAAGAGAAGTAGGAAATGAATTCCTACTTCAATTTTCATAATCCAGTTTGGATCCGAATTAAATATGTCTGACCCAGAGGTGTTTTTTAATGTTAATTAATTTTAATCAAATATTACATAATAGCCTACTTAAATTAACATATTTACCTTTCTAAGTATGGGTAGTGAAAGTAATATTTTCTTTAAAATGACATATAATCAATCAATATGTAACTTGGGCTATTAACTTCGATTTTACAGTGTAAACATTGAAGTGCAGATTCAACGTTCCTAATATAACATTAAAATACAATTCAAAAAATCGTAGTTAATTCAGTTTTTGTGACAGCAGAAAAATTTTTGCCCCATTGTTTTCAGATGAAATGAAATGATGTTTATTTCCCAACTAAAAAGTACAATTCATGAAATTTTACAGAATAAATTACTTAATCCTTGTCTTAAAAATAACTTACAAAATAATATTATAACTAAATGGCACAAAGAGATAAAAAAAATACCTAATCAACTTATATGGAAATGTGTCTACATAGGCAGGGCCTGTGCGTAGACATGAGTTGCGGGTAATTTGTTTAGTGAATGGGAATTTTTTTTTGAAGTGATTGTTATCACGTCTGAAAATAAATGTTGTCTTGCTTGGAACTGGACAACGATATTTCTCTGAAACTAAGTAGAATCTAAAGTGCTTCTCAAAAATCAAGTGATAGGTTGAGCGGAGAGGAGTTGCGGGTTGTGTATTAGATAAATAAATAAATAAATAAATATTGTGTAAGATAAAAATCTAGTTTCTAATGATATATAAATTACTATAGTATCGGTACTCTTGGTCACCCTCATCGCAATTAGGCCTTCCCTTAGGCCTACCTATTAGCTTTTAACACTTTCAATGCTATGCGTCAATAAATTGTTGTGCGTCTTTTTCCAGAAAAAGTGCTATGGAACGATATATCGTTGTTTGCGCTTCATCTGAATAGTGCTGAGCAACGATATAACGGTCCAGCGCAACTTTCGATTGTGTAAGTTTAAATGGGCACATCAGTTGACTTGGTTGTTGTTTCGAAACAGTGATGGTTTTTTTCGATTCCTCATACGATCGAGGCCCGATATATCTTTCCTTAGCACACAGATGAAAAATTGTATTGTAACGATTTGTGGACTACTCAATGATGGACCCTAAGTGACGCCATATTTGCCAAGCTTGGTAAGAAGGATATCATGAGAGACCACGTCGAATAGCAAGGCAGATCACAAGATCACAAAGACTAAGATGGAGGGAGTCATTTGATTCAAAGGCATCAGAGATGTTCATGACTAGGCTAAGGAGTGCAGAGGTTGTGGATCATCCGGCCCTAAACCCATGTTGGGAATCGTTGAACAGGTTGTTGTTCTTGAAATAGGCCACCAGTTGCTGTTTCATTACTGACTCCAGAACCTTAGAGAAAACAGGAAGAATTGATATCGGCCTAAAGTTAGCGGGCTGTGCCGGGTCACCTTTCTTGTAGATAGAGATGGTTTTAGCTATCTTCAGGTTTTCGGGAAAAACACCTTCGGCCAAACAGCTGTTGACTAAATAAGCAAGAGGGGCAGCAATCGATTTAAATACAGATTTAAGAATATGGCTAGAAACTCCATTTATATCTTGACTAAATGAATCCTTAAAATTGTGTACTATTTTAATCAGATCTTTCTCACTCACCTTTTTCCAATTTCTAAGGGTGACAGTTGGGGTTAGGTCCGAGAGGTAGTCGACTGAGTTAGGCTGTAACAGAGGTAGGTCAGAGATTATATTATCAGCTATACCAGAAAGATAGTCATTAACCCTCCGTGGGTCACGTGTCTGAAAATAGTCGTCGGGTGATGATGATGGAGATGATGGTACATGAGTGGATGGTCTGTGTTGATTGATGATGCCCCAAGCGGCTTTACAGGAATTTGGAGCATTCAAGATGGTCTGAGCATTGGACATTTTCTTAGCTAACCTAACTTTGGAACTGTAGTCTTTTTGATTTTAGTATAGAGTGAGAGGTATTTGATTTTCAGTGCAGGGTCAAGGGTCAGTTTGTAATGATCATGGGCTAAAACCATCAGCTTGCTTAATTCTGGGGTATACCAATTGTTAGGATTACTTACTTTGGTGGATTTAGATTTTACAGTATGCGGTTTTTTCTTAATTTCTCTAGCTGGAAAGACCAAGTCAAATTGTTCTTGGAAAAGACCAGAAAAAATCCTAAATGCATCTGAAGCGTCAGGTATTGTGTAGACACTCTCCCAATTTGTGTTTTCTAACATAGCTACTTATACCTTACCACTTCAATTTCTTTTACCTGAAGAATTTCTGAGTGACTAAGCATTTTATCGCTAACACATAGGCCTAGTGGTTAGGCTACTGCTGCACACTTTGTAGGCAGCCAGTCTAGTTGTGGTTTCTAGTTTATTTAACTACTACGTAGGCCTAAGTTAGTCCCGAAAGTGTCCAATTTTAGGTTAAGATAGTGATTTGCATGCGAGACAAAGCTAAGTGTGGAAAATATCTAGTCAGTGACCCTTGGAGGAATGGAACTTTCGTGACAAGTTAGTGAATGATACTTTTCATCATTATGCCAATAATCACTAGCCTAAGCTTTTCAGTTTTAATATAATATTAGTTCATACGGTAGTCTAGTAGGCTTAATTCTCTTTAATATTTTCATAGAATTTTTATACAATTTATGTTAGGTTAGCTTAAAAATCATCAATATTTCTCGTAATGAAAGAATGAATAGGTATATACATTAGGCCAACTGCTCCTGTAAAGCGAAACAGATATTTTGTTTGGGACAGGTATTTGATGTTTAGGACAGGAAAAATCATAGGTACCACTTTGGAAATCTACGATTTTCATAAAGCTCAGCTGTGAATTTTTTTTTTTTTTTTTTTGTACAGAGTGATAAACAAAATCTTATAGTTCTAGTAAACTTAATGAAATTCGAAAAATGGGCTCCGAGTTTTTAGCGACTTTCCCACAGGGAATAAGTTAAAAGCTATTACAAGTCTCATGGTAAGACCCGGACCCGAACCAATTTACTTTTTCGTTTTGATGTCCCCAAAGGCCAAAAACACCTTCTGTTAAAAATTCACATATAGGCCTAACTTATATATTTATATGTGTATCCGTTAACACGATAACTCGAGCATTTAAACCAACCGATTTAGATTAAATTTGGTACAAGTGTGAACACCTATGTTTGTTTGAAGGAGTTCGTGACCAACCAGGCATGATCCGACTATGGGAACGGGGGTTTATGGGAGGTTCTATGGGTTAAAAATATTGGGGTTTTCCATTTTTTATCCAAAAAACATAACATTTCTTTCCAAATCATTTTGTAGAGCTTAAAAAAACAAATAATAAGTTTAAGTTAGTATATTGAAGTGTATTTGCACAGTTACCTTATTGGTCACAGGGAAAATTTAACAATATATATAAATTAAAAATTCCTATGTTATTCTTATGGAAAATAAGTAAACTGGAGTAGTTTCCTTGTTTATGGTAAGTGTCTTGAGCCCAAAACTTTCACAAAGAAGCTAGCCCCTCTCCTTAAGTCTAGAGCATACTACTCTCTAAAGAATTTTTTTGAGGATACATTTCCTGAATTTGTTGACTGACCTGCATATCCACTTGCCAAAGTTTTGTAAATTTATGTCTGTATTTCGATTCAGTTTGTTTAAATGTATTTTGTATATATTGAAATTCTGACGCCATCAATCCCTTATTGGGTTGACGTTGAAGATGAAGACACGGTAATAAGGTAATCCCTTCTTGGAAAAATTTTCAAAAATAAATAATGTCACTTCACTTCAAATAACAAGTTTTGATTTGTAGGTTATATTAAACCTAGCCTAATCTAAATAACAAGAAAAAATGACCAAGACAGAAGTTTTGAAAAACTTCTCAGAAACAACATTGTAGGCTACATAAGTTAGACCCAGAGTCAATTCCCTTCGTCATAGTACAGGTAGGCTTACCTGGAATTTCAATTCAATTGGCACCTTCAAATGTTGAGCATATTTTAAGTCCGAGTTTGCCCTAGGCGTATGTTTAAATTTCACAGAGCTAGGAGTTTCAACTTTAATTGAAAAAAATGTGTCCCCTAAATTAACTTCATCTTCACCATCTTGATTTAGATCTTGGGTTGATTCATCCTGTGATGTCACGTCTCCACTACCTGTACCGTCCATAAATTTAGCTTTAAATTTAGATAGGCCCTGTTTTTTTTATTAAACATAGGTTTATCATTGCCTTTTATCTTGCAAACAGGGGCTAGATGACCCTTTACATTACAAATATGACAGATGTAGTCCTTAGTCCTTGTAGTTGCAATCCGCACTTGAATTTGATTTGGTTGGTCCTACCATGGGCGACAAAACATAATCTTGTTTAAATAGCATATTATGGTTTTCTAGCCTGAGTTTACAGTTGGAAAAAATCACATGGGTTCATGGGTTAAGGTAATTTTGTATTATATTTTGTGTAAATATGCGTGTGATCGAGTTATTCGATCGTCAGTAATTAATTTGTTAAGTAGGTAGCTAAGATTATGAAACGGTATATAACATAATATTTTGCTGTCTTTCTATTGGTCGTCTTCTCAGTCGAGGGTAGGTGGGGAGCTTGTGGTTGGGTGTCAATCTCGTTTTGATTACCCCGACAGATACGGGCTCCTGTGTTTTGTAGGCGGGGCTAGGGAATCGCAGTGGCCCGCTATTATCCAATGAAGTGGTCTAATGCGGGTCTCGCTTTTTAGTGTGGGCGCGGGTGGTATAGTAGTGGGAGGAGTCTCAGTCCATGGGGGTCGGGTTTATTCTGCTGTTAGTATTGTAGCCCTCTTCGTCCGTGCCTGATTTTGGGTCCTTCAATAATACTGGGTATATTCAAAATTGTTGTGAACTACTCGGTGTTATTTTGTAGCTTTTTTGTGTGGGATAGCCCGCGTCCGTCGGTATGTGTGTGTAGGCCGTTGTTGCCGGGCATACCCAAATGTTGGGGTGATCTACCCGGCGTTCTTTTGCAGCTTCGTAGTGTGTCGGGCCGGTTGTCTATGTCGGGTAGCCCGAGTCAATCAGTGCAGGGTATAAACCATGTGGGGTAGCCCGCGTCCGCCGGTATGTGTGTGTAGACCGTAAATAAAGACCGGTAAGGATTGATAAACCTTATTGAGTTAGCTTTTTTTTAACATTTTCATCCCTATTAAAAAGTACCACTTTTTACTAATTGCAAAAGTAACTATTTTAAAACACTGTTGTCCAGTGATTTTATAATATTAGGGATATGAAAGCCATGATTACGACCTTAATAATAGTCAATTGTCTCTTTATCACATCCCTCAAAAATTCCAATGAGACAGTGGCCCAAGGCCAAATACATTTTTAGTTTCAGGTTTTTCATAACAACAACTAACCATCCTCTAAATTGGGTCTCTTGATGTTTGTCTCTATTTCCAACAACCCTTTCTACCAAAGTGGCCTGGGGAAATAAAAAACAGTTTTTTATTTTCCCTTAACCATTGTGTATCAAGCATAGGTACCTATAAGTTTTATACTATCAATTTCTCTTAGGTACTTTTGCAGTTAATGCAAATTAAATTTTTCTATTATTTTGTTCCCATCCCACAATCTTTTTTGGAACTTAAGCCTAATCTGCTTCTGGAGCTTTTACACTCCCCTCCTTTACCCTTTATTTAAATATGATTCAATTGATTTTTAGTCTACACCCACTGACTTTCACCAGGAACAAAGAACCTGGACCTAGTCACGTCATAGATAAAATATACTCCCTTAGTAGATTTCTCATCCTTATGGAACAGCTGAAGACAATTTTATTGTTAGTTCTGTACGGTTTATGTAGAGGTCGTTTTTTGTTTACAATTCGTTCCCCGTTATTACAGTCATTTAAAACCTTGTTTAACCAAATAATACAATCTAATCATAAAAAACAACTGTCCCCTAGTTATATAACCAAAAAGTAAAGCACAAATCAAGAAATTAACCCTAAAATAATATAAACAAAATTTCTTTGACACTAGCGCCCAGTGTCACCGTACATGAACTAGACACGAAAAACGTGCTTCAAAATTTACAATGGGATGAGAAGTCTACTTGTGTTGGTTAGTCTATGGTCACGTCTTTCCAGGTTTTTTATTGCACCCTCTTAACCCTCCAACTGCTAGTTATATTTGCCCTTGGTGCTAAGCATTTTTTAGGCAAGTTGCGGCAATAAAAAAAAATTAATAATAAAGTTTAAAAATTAAACAAACCATAACATATTATATATTTTCTTGTTCAGTATAAAATTATCTACAAAAACATACCATATTATTGCATGGTTATGTTTCTATAAAAATATTTTTAAAGATGTTAACAAACAAAATATATAAATTTGTTTTCATTTTGTAACTTTGCACATCATAAAAATAAAATTATTTTGCTCTGAACTAAAATTGAAAATAGCCATTTTGTAGCGAATTTAATAAGGAACAAGAAAATATATACTATAAAAAGTATAATGTTACCTGGATCTGCCAAAGTAATCCAAATTGCTGTCTAACGACTACGCGTTTTGAAGCAGTATAAGCTTCATCTTCAGGTCGTCAAGAACACATTTCACTCATCAGAGGTCGTCAAATAAATATAATTTTTACACATACATGGACGGAGAATAGTTACTGTAGGCCTACAAACCGCGTGCGCGCACTTAGATTAACAAAGTTTACTGTAATAAATTATTATGTATAGCTACTTATACCTTACCACTTCAATTTCTTTTACCTGAAGAATTTCTGAGTGACTAAGCATTTTATCGCTAACACATAGGCCTAGTGGTTAGCGAAAAAACCAAAATACCATCCTCATATATGTGTGTGCATATGTGTGTTTTAGGCATTTTAACATACAAGTATATGTTGTGAAAATATATACTTTTATGCACATAAAATAAAATATATCTCATTTATATACAGAAACCCTCACCCAAGGATCAAGAGTAGGCGTAGGCCTAGGCCTAGGATGCGTACGTTTTCATTACCAACACCAAACAAATCTTCGTCAGGATCACTAAGATCCTCACTAAAACACATACGGATGTCACTACTATCCATTATTTACGTAAAAACACTAAATAATTAGGCCTACATTATAAACCGCTTTGGATGACATAAACAAACAGACTCGGTAACTACGCAGGTTAGCACTGTTTGTAGACAGCAGACAGCTGGCGCGACGATGTCAATTTTGCAAGTCGTTTTACAAAGCAGCCAGTTGGGTTAAAGCATTAGAGACAGGTATCGGGAGAAAGCCTGAAATCTGACGTTTACGGAGATACCAAACTCAATCCAGTTTCTTGTACACTGGAACGGAGTGAAGTAGATTAAACGACACCTTACGTATCGACTCGCTCGAGTCGACTAGCAGCCGGCCGGGGTGTGGCAATCGACTCACTCGAGTCGATCAGCAGCTGGAGGGTTAATCTATAAGGTTTCAGTGATCCAAATGTGAGTTATTGTAGTTTAGGTTTTCCTCCTAAACTCTATCTGTTATAGTATCTATAATTTTGACTAACCATAAATAATATGATTTTAGGCCATCATATAACAGTGCAATAACTAATGGATGAAATTAAGCAAACAAATGAAGAAGAAATTGACGTTGTCGACTCAGAAGATGCGGAAGAAGAAGAAGAAGAGGAGGAGGAGGACCTGGGAGCTTCGCCCCTCGGCGACCATGGCAGCCTTATGATGGCTCTAGCCTCGACCAATGGTAGGCCCAAATATTCAAATTTGCTAATTTAGGTTTATGTGGTGTGTGGAATGTGCAGTTTTGTTGAATAGAAGTGTTGTGCGAAAGGAGGAACAAGACTTTAGCAGCACTTTTGTGACAGAGGCACAAATAATGCACAATTTATAAATTCTGTTAATAGTACTAGGCCTAGTTTTTACTCCCAATTTTACCTAGCTTACAAACCCATACAAACCCATAGAGCTCAATTTGTTACCTTATGGTTTTGTGAGAACAGTATTATGTATTAGATTGATGTGCATAGATAAATTCATCTTGGTGTTAAGTATGTTTTCAAAATTTACAATATGTGTTTGGATGATAATTCCTTTTAGGCCTATGCTTTGATAAGTATTTTTATCATTAGATTTAATATATCTGAGGAGTCTTTGCAGACATAGGCCCAAAAAGGTGAATAATTTATCAATGCAAATCCACTTTTAGATGACTTAATTTTGAATCTGTTTCAAAATCAAATTTGATTCACTAGCAATTACAATTTTAAACAAACAGATCACTGTAGCTCCTGGCTAGCACCTCTGACTGATCTTATTGCAGTAACCACTGGCTTTCCTATGGGACTCAAATACCGCTACAATACATCGTTGTACTTAGATCACAGCTCTAAGCAATGGTCTATACTGGGAGGCAGTTAAGGTTTTTGAAAGGATTACAATGTGGATATTACATTATGAGAGTTTAAACAGCTTTGCCATACGAGGGACTGGCTTCACCCTTACGACTGACTGCAGGGACAGGCAAGCCTCTGAATCTCAAGAGGGGTAGGGGCCGACCAGCTGGCCGTACGGGCGAGTCTAAGCTCAAGAAACCACTCGGCCTCAAACTGAAGAGATGGAAAGGGTAGGTGTTACAAAGTTAGTTTAAGAAGTTAATCTCTTCTACACTCGTTATTTGGCAAACCAGGCTTTAGGCCAGGTTTTAAGGATTTTGTAGTTTACATGATGGACAGCAGACTTCCATATTGAGTAATGTTTAAAGTATTTATTAACACATGAAACATATAATTTCCAGAATTACTAGCTACTTTAGGTTGTACAGTATGTTTTTGTCATCTCCGCTAATTTTTAAGGGCGAGTTTTGCGTCTTGTCAAAAAATCAAGTTTAAAAAGTTTTGTTGTTCACATAACATATTCGCTATCTTTTAAACTGTCTATGTTTCAGTGGTGTATATGTTCCATCTGACAAGTCCCCCCGTCATTCGCTGGATGGAGATGAGAGCCCCGCACACAGCTCAGAGCCAAGCACCCCTGCCACCCCTACCACTACAGCCTCTACCCCTGGAGATGACAAGCTGTTGGCCCCACCCTCACAGGACGATCCGCCGTACTTCGCTGAGACCTGGTAAGCCTCTGTCAGTCAAGACTCCTCAGTCCTTAACATTCAATAGATAATGTGACGTTTTCCCCCTGAACTTAGTAATGGTTGTAGTGATTTGGGCTGGGTACATACCCAGTGTAGGGTATTTTTAAACGTGAACTTACCAAAAGTTTGGGTATTTATTAAAAGTCGATTACACATGGCAACATCGGGAATATCGCTGTGGTGTCCCTACACTGCTCTCCATTTACCTCTGAGGTCCACTAGGCGCTGTGATTCCACCTGTTCTCGCCCTCAGAACGTTGCTTCTTATCAATGTCACAAAAATATGCAAATATGGCTGTAAAAATCTGATAATAAACTGTTAACTTAATTTTAAATTTTGAGTGAGGACCCTGAATATCCTAATGGTGTCTGACACAGAGTTTTATCTTTTGCAGGCCTGGGAAGGTGTGTGTGCTCTGTAACCTAGGCGAACGGTCACAGCTGGGCCAAGGAGAGATGTTAAGACTCGCTTGTCAGGAAGGGTTTGTGCCTCAACGCCCCACCACACCGGGGTTTGTCTCTCCCACCACCGAACAGGAAGATGTTACTGGCCCAGACAAGAGTCCCCGCACTCCTGCACTTAGCTGCCGTCGTCAAAAGAACTGGGCCAAGTGCAGGTAAAAGCTGCTTTTTTAGCAGTGAATTTAAGGCAGGGGGATATATTTAGTATACCGCAAGAAGTACTCTTTAGGTTAGTTACATACACATTTTAACTTTTTTTACCGTAGCTTCAAGTTAGACTAATAACAGAGAAGTAAACTATAGAGGAAACTCGCTTATGCGACGACCAGTAGCTCAGCTCTGGTATGTTGTGATGGAAATATACTTGTGACGAGCAAGGAACAGCCCGAATGGGGAGCACAGGGTCTTCCTCCGCCGTGAGCGTTGCAGCACAAGAGGGCAACAGGGCAGTGTTAGACTTTGCCCTAGACACCATTTAAGGGTATCCTCACTTTTGGGAATGTCTTAAATAAAAATGCAATTTTAGCTATTTTTAGACTTCATAGTGCTGTTATGTTGTGCATGCCCCCCAAAAAATGTTGGTCACAGGTAGAGGTGTGCGGATAATGAAATTTCAGTTTGGATCGGATTCGGGTCGGATAGTTAAGGCTCGGTTCGGATCGAATTGGAAATTAGAGGTTCGGATTCAGATATTTTTGGATTCGGATAGTTTGACGTTCAAGTATTTAATAAATAAATATTAAGGCTGAAGTTATAATTTTAATATACATAAACTACAATATGAATTGTACACTATTCACTATTGTGATATTGTAAGTCTTAAATCATAAGTCATAAATCTTGGTTCAGTTATAAAAAACTGAAGTTCAAATTCACAGCTCACTCAATTTTACAAAAAAAGAATACCGTACCTTATATCTTGATGCAAACCATGGCAAGGCCATGTCTCAGTGTGTACCTTATATCTTGGTGAAACAATTTACAGTATACCCCCTCTTAACCGACCCTAATGGGACCGGACCTAGGTCGGATGATTCAAAAGGTCGGATGAAACGGGCAATCCCTAAAATCATAACATAATAAAGTGCTATTCATTTGGAATTATATAATCATTATTTTGAAGTCATACTTGCATTATTTATAAAATAAACTACTCTTATCTCCTTTTTCATATTGATAGAAATGTCACAAATAAACACAAAACACTGTTAAGTCAAATAGGCCTACTTTCAGTGAAAATATTATAATACTAAGCAAGAGTCAATAAAATTCCTATTTTAATAACTTTACTACTGTAATGTATTAATTAATGCTTTCCAAATACATCGTAATACAGTAAAGAACCTTTTGTCGTCATTAAAGATACAAGCGACCATTTTGTTACAAGACAGGACGTTTATTTATAGCCTCTCACTGGAGGCTCGAGGCACAAAAACTATCTTGACCTTGGAGTTGTTAACACCCCTTCCCTGCCCTCCCTACAAGTTGCATTGTTTGTTTACTCCAGCGATAAGATAATCAGTTCTCAAAATCGTAACGCACTTTATGATGTTATAAATTTGCCGCACAGATAACAAATCAGATCAGATGTGCTCGAGCTACGAACGATGATGACAAACTGACAATAGGTTATGCTATATTTTTTGTGATCATCACAAAATAACTTATTGTTAGTCATATCCTGTGGAGATAAGCGTATGGTTCAGTTCTCATCGCCCAGCGTGGGAGCGGAAATGCCAAGATTCCTAGAAAGCGGCGGTTAAACCGAGCTGCTCTCAAAGCAAGGTTGGTTAAAACAAACTGTATTATTTTTTTATCAAAGGCGGATAATCCGATTATCGGTTAATACGAGGTCGGTTAAGGGGGTCTACTGTATTTGGCAAGGCAATGTCTTGAGAGTATACTTTGTATGTTGATGCAATTTATATGGCAATGTCTCTCAGTGTATACTTTATATCTTGATGCAAACAATTTATATGGCAAGGCCATCATGTCTCAGTGTTTGTATCTTAATGCAAAGAATTTAAATGGCAATGCAAATGTCTCATTCTTTGTATCTTGATACAAATAATTTATTTTGCAAGGGGTTTGTATCTTGATACAAACTATTTATATGGCTAGGCCATGTCTCTGTATTTGTATCTTGATACAAACTATTTATATGGCTTGGCCATGTCTCCGTATTTGTATCTTGATACAAATAATTTATATGGCAAGGCCATCATGTCTCAGTGTTTGTATCTTAATGCAAAGAATTTAAATGGCAATGCAAATGTCTCATTCTTTGTATCTTGATACAAATAATTTATTTTGCAAGGGGTTTGTATCTTGATACAAACTATTTATATGGCTAGGCCATGTCTCTGTATTTGTATCTTGATACAAACTATTTATATGGCTTGGCCATGTCTCCGTATTTGTATCTTGATACAAATAATTTATATGGCAAGGCCATCATGTCTCAGTGTTTGTATCTTAATGCAAAGAATTTAAATGGCAATGCAAATGTCTCATTCTTTGTATCTTGATACAAATAATTTATTTTGCAAGGGGTTTGTATCTTGATACAAACTATTTATATGGCTAGGCCATGTCTCTGTATTTGTATCTTGATACAAACTATTTATATGGCTTGGCCATGTCTCCGTATTTGTATCTTGATACAAATAATTTATATGGCAAGGCCATGTCTCAGTGTTTGTATCTTGATACAAACAATTTATATGGCTAGGCCATGTCTCAGTGTTTGTATTTAATTCTGCACAGGTTATGGTAAACGCATTCAACACTGCCTTCAACAATAAAAGAAATTGATGGCATATTGAAATTAAAAAAAAAACACTTAAGATATGGCTTTTGGAGAAGGCATTTTTTCACTGGAAGATTTCCTAAATTAACGGTCGGATACGGCTATCCGAATCCGACCCGATTTTTAGGATATCTGCACACCTCTAGTCACAGGACACCTATGCTTAAGGGTGCCATTCAATGTTTCCTCTGTACCTTACTTCTCCATGGACTAATAAAACAATTCCAAGCTAACATGTTTAGAACATCTTTTGTTTTGGAAACATATATTTTTCTTCAAATTACCAATCCAGATATGAGTTTTAGAGGTAAGTGATTAAAGATATATGACCAGCTCTCTAAACATAAACACATTCACTACCAGGTCACACAAGAGTCCTCACACAGAGGAGTGTGACGGCTGGTAGGTAACGTGTTAAAATAAGTGGTTTGCTGTAACTACTCCAAACTAGGAAAGCTGATGTTTTTAGACCTAGTTTGAAATTAATTTAGTAAATTTCCTATTTGGTTTTTAAGTTAATTTTAAACAACAATATATTTGGATCTAAATTAAAGTAGGCTATAGAACGTAATTTGAAGGATCTGAGTGTATATTTCCAGTTAACATTTTACATAACTTTTTAATGTTCTAGGAATGTGGTACTCAGTGGTCAGGAACCTTTGGATGAACTCAGCATCATCGGCTACACTGAGGAACCGGATCTAGTCAGCTTATTCGAAAATGCAGTCAGCCAATGTATGTCAAAGTATTTTTATAATAATTTTTATTTTATTCTTATTAGCAAATTTCCCTATAAGGAAGTATCTATTAGGCCTACCATAGGTGGCACAGAAAAAAAAACCTAGATCCGGTACCGATTTTACTTTTTCATTTTGATGTCCCCAGTGGCCAAAATTAATATACGTTCAAATTTTTTTATAGGCTATGCTTTATCCTTATAAAACAGAAAAACGCCCAATTTTCAGTGAAGCCATCAGGTAGAGCTTAGAAAAACATAGAATTTTGTTCCTTTTTTTTTCAAAAGCTCTATTTGGGCTTGGTTTGATCGAAAATATGAGGCTCGCACACCTCTTAGGCCCCGGCCACACGAGGCGAATTTAAGCCGCGCGGCTTATCTTCGCGCGAAGTTAAGCCGCGCGAAGTGCCTGGCCACACGGGGCGGATGAACCGCTTCCTGTTGGGTTTTCCCAGTATCAGTACTCTATTAAAACATAGTTCGGTTCACTCTTTTTAGTCATGGGTGAAACACTTAAATGTTAGTTTGTGCATTAAAAGCGTGTGGTGATCTGGAACGTTAACATAAATCATTGGGTCCATCCCTTCATAACGGAAAAACAATTTGTTGTGTTCCAAACCTTTTACGAGCACATGCGAAACCATAGTTCGGAGTTCATATGTATCAAACATTGTTTGAACACCACACAACCGGTAAAAAATACACAAAACAAACTCAAAAACCACTGGAAATGTCCGAAGAATATCTCCAATAAGCGCGGCTGCCGCGCGGTCGAACCGTATCGTGTGGCCACTCTCATAAGACTACATGTGTCATCCCCTCCAACGCGGCTTAACTTCGCGCGGTCGGGGGACGACATGTTGCGGCTCAACCGCACATGCGGCTAAACTTCGCCTCGTGTGGCCACTCTCATTTGATTCAATGTGTTGTCGAAGCCCTTAACTTCGCGCGGCTTAACTTCGCGCGGTTAAACCGCCTCGTGTGGCCGGGGCCTTAGTAGTTAGTGCTCTCTGATTGAACTTTGCTTAGTCTGTAGGTTCGCTGCAGAGGGAGTATTTAAAAAATAATTATTGGTTGGTTGTGCTTTTTAATCCAATTGCCCTTCTAATGCGGGTCTTCCAAGTTTTTGGAGAGATGCTTGGGTATTGATCCTTAAAACCTCATTTGTTGCCCAGATTAATTTTTAGGTTTATACTGTCACTGTTATTTTTAAAGGCACGTTACAGTTAGGAAAATTTATTCTCATTCTTAAGCTATCACATTCTTATTGAACTTCAAATTGAACGTCAATAGAGTGTTAATGTTATTTTTCTTTCATAGGGCATGTTTATATCCATGAAAATTGTGCGCTGTGGAGCCTCGGTGTAAGTCGTCCGACGGATGCCGATTTTCAAACAATTGGACAGGTAAACATATCTTGTATGATATTGGAAAATGAGGCTTGAAACCTGCTGGCTAAAAGTCTACTGGATTCATTTTACATAATTGTCTAAAGAATTTTATATGAAACAGAAATTTTTTCAAACACAATTAAACAGAAAACAGAACATCTTTAGAAATTATTTTATTGTTATTTGCATATTATAATTTTGTCTCAGAGAAATGTGTTATTCTTTTGGTTAATGCTGGTCTACTTAAAGAGAGGCCTTTTTGTTTTATTGATTTAAACTATGGTACATTTTAAGGTAGAATTTGTTATGCTTTGATTTGTAGATTAAAGGGGGAAACAGCTAGCTTACCTTAGAATAAGTACATGTAGGTATAGAAGACACAGAAGAGAAACAACAATATTACGTCCTCTAAGGGACTTTGTCAAGTGTAGAAAAAGAGAGTTCACTAAACAAGTTTGATGTGTCCTTCTGTGTGTTCTATGACTTGCCTGTACTTCTTCTAAGGTACGATATCCCTTTTATTCTACTATTCAAAAGCAGACATGTTCATCTTATTACACAACAGTGCTTAGTGCTTGTAACTTAAAAGTGTGTTATACTAGATTTAAATTTCTGTATTTTCACCTCAAATGCAAAAAGAGTGGGAAGTCTTTATCTTTTGAAGAAGTTTCTTGTTACATAAAATTTGATTGAAAATCTAAACTATGTTTAAGATTCAATGTAAGTCTATTGTCTTGACAGATTGTGGTGTCGGCGGTTTGTCGCAAATGCTCATACTGTGGTAGACTCGGCGCTAGTGTTTCTTGTACCTTCAACAACTGTCAGAGAGCTCTACACCATCCCTGTGCAGGAGCCTCCGGTGCCTTCCAAGACTCCAAGAGCTACAGCCTTGTGTGCAATCTTCACTTGGACCAAGTCTCACTCATGCGTTAGTTGCTAACTACATTCTACATCAAAATAACTATTGTTTTCTAGTATTTAATTAGTATTACATTTTGTTTTAAATAGGACTAAAAGGGTTTCCTGTAAAAAATAAAACAACAGAAGCAATAGCCTAAAAGATTAATTGGACTCTACGGCTTGGATCTGAATGATTCACTAACGGTTTCAGAAAAAATTGTAATTGGGCATTAGTAAGTTTGACCTATGTGTTGAATGAATTGGTGTTAATAATATTAAAAGGTAAAAAGGAATGAGCAATCTTAGGTCATAACTCGCTGTAAATTGTGACTTCAATTAGTGTGGAGTGAATTCAATCTAATTCTAATTCATGCTAGAGTAGTAGACCATCAACTGTTTTTTTTTTTTGCTCATGAAAATCAGGCATTACATTAGATTTATGTGGTTTAAAAGTGACTGTGTGTGCAGTGGAAAATAGAGATATAAGTTTGAAATAGTTAGGGATGGACGAGATTGGATTTTTAGTTCGAGACGAGACGAGACGAGATTTTTTATTTCTCATAAAATTTTGAGACGAGATCGAGACGGGATTTCCCTTCTCATACACAACGGGAAATGCACGTTCAAAATTTTTACCTGATTTTCTAACATTGTTAGATGACTGTTTAAATACAAAAATAATGATAATAGGCAAGAATATTTACAATCTTTTATTAAAAAACATCAGCATAACATTTTTTTATTAATCACGCCTAACTTAATAAAAATGCCTACGATTAGGAAACATAGTGATATCAGTTAGGATAGAGTTCAACTTATCCTAAGATAAAATAAATCATAAAATAAAAGCAATATTAATTTTTATAAAATAGTTACTTGTTTTGACTTTTTATAGTAATAAAACATTCCTCACACTGCTTACACTTAACAAAACTTCTCAAATGTTATTAAAGTAATATTATTAAAATAATTAAAGTAATATTTACATTTAAAGAATTAATTAAATAAGAACGCCTTCGCAAAGGAAACGCAACTACAACACGCTCCTGTATTGCGGGTATTGCATTGACTTTCTGCAGGCGTTTTTAATTTTTTTTTTTTTTTTTTTTTTAATTCTCGTCTTGATAAAAATCTCGGCCAAAAAGAAATCTCGTCTCGTGTAACGAGATTTAAAATTTCCCGAAAATTTCCCGAAATTTCGAGACTTGACCATCCCTAGAAATAGTAAACACTTTCTTTGCAAAAGTTTTTCTTTGCAGTGAAAAAATATTTTGATGCTGCCTACATCAATAACAAACAGTTTGTAATGAGTAATGTACCAGATGAAATTTGGCCCTTTAACCCAGTAAATTGTAAAAAGTGTATGGACTTGGCGGAGCAGGTTTGTTTGTTTAGTTTAACTAATTTATCTTACAAAATAAAACACTTGAATCTCATATTTCCATTTGCTCGTTTTCCAGCTGGTCTCGGAGACGTGACGTGCATGAGCTGTTTCTCCCTGGGAGATGTTCGGAACCTGACAATGTGCTCTAACTGCGGTAACCATTACCATGGGAGCTGTGTCGGCCTCGCTTTGTTACCAGGTTTGTGTGACTATTTCTTCTCCTCGACAAAATACACCCATGATACTTGAGAATTTTAGATTTGAGAATAGAGATACTTTGTCCTTTAATTCATTTTTCTGGTATGATACTAAAAGCCTTCCTGACACCATAAAGTGCTAAACCATTTTAAAACCAGATTATACAACTTTTTGTGAGATAAATGTTGCTATAGAATCAAGGATTTTTCCAATTCGTTGTTTGTAGTTTTAGAGACTTTACGGGATAAAATTGCTACCGGTATATATCTAGATAACTTTTAATTAATAAGTGCTGATAAATTGTAAAATAAAGATTGTGTAATGTTGTCACAATTCGTATCAATGCAAGAAACAATAACATAGTATGGAGGATATTCTATGGTAGGAGAGCAATGTCTAGATCTAGAGTAAGTAAGGCTGTTCTTTTGTCTTGTATTATAATTGTAAAAATCAGAATTATTTAGAAAATTTGACAAATTTTGTCCGATGTTCCAAACAAGTTATAAATGTATATACTGGAACATAAGAATGTTGCAAAAAAAAAAACTTTAACAACAGTATTTTCTGTCCAAAACAATACAGATAATTTTATATTGCTTTTAAAACACTTTTTCCCTTATCTGAATTACTCCTAAAGATCATTGATGTTTTGCAGGTGTCCGCGCAGGCTGGCAGTGTCAGGACTGTCGTATCTGTCAGATCTGCAGACAGCCTGAGGACAGCAAAGTCATGTTGTGTGAGACATGTGACAAGGCCTACCATCCACACTGCCTTCGGCCCGTAGTCGCCACAATACCCAAGTACGGCTGGAAATGCAAGGTCAGTACCTGCCCTAACATCAATACATTTGTTGATCAATCAGTTATAATCGACCTAGAGCATTGTTGGCCTAATATGGAATATAGTGGAACAATGCACCTGCTCCCTCTATATCTGGGCTATTCTTTTAGTTTAAAACTATTAGGAAGAGAAATACCCTTAGAAGTACTAATGTATGGTATTATTTATTCTGAATTTTGTTTTGCCACACACAAAGTTGCCTGAGGCTAAAGAATTTGAGGAATGATGGGGAATCGTAACCTCAACCAGAATAAGTTAAGCAATGCATGCAATAATTACGATTCTTTTACCACCATGAATGATGTAAAATAAAGTAAGTTTAATTGACTAAATTTTCCAAAATAAGTAGCTGTATTTTGAAAGTGTGTGGGTCTCAGATTTCAGTGCAGGTACAGTTTCGAGCCTCGGCATTTCCAGATAAATTTAAAGGGAGTTTAAATCTCTAACTGAAGAGTGTTCTTCTCTACTAAATGCTTCTAGCATGGACACAAATATTTAGTGAAATGAGATGTCTTATCACAATTTGCACGTTATTGTGTTGCAGTGTTGCCGCGTGTGCAGTGACTGTGGCTCTCGTACGCCGGGTGCCGGCCAAAGTTCACGTTGGCACGCTCACTACACGGTGTGCGACTCTTGCTACCAACAGCGTAACAAGGGATTCTCCTGTCCTTTGTGTCGAAGAGCCTATCGCGCAGCTGCGTACAGAGAAATGGTCCAGTGTAGCAAGTGTAAAAGGTAAGTCTATCCTCACAATCTCTGGGTACATTTGAGTCGGATTGAGAACACAAGTTTTTAACGTTTGTAGTATATTAAACTAGTTGAGCTTCAAGTAACTGTATTCTGTGATGCAGAATTTTATTAAAACTTTGTGAATAATCCCTTGTGAGTCTGCTTCTGAATACAGTAGAACCTCGATAATCCGGGGTAATGGGGAGGAGGGAGACCGTGGATAACTGAAAACCACAGTTAATCCAACTTGGCATAAAAATATATTACAAACCCAAAAAAACAACTAATACTGTATAAATGGACATTAATATAATAATTAATCTGCATTTTTACATTATCAAAATACAATTAGTATTGTACAATCATGGTATGTTTAGTCGTTAAAATTGGTTCAGTAATAAAAACTGTAAGTTTGTAAATCACGCTTAATCAAAAAACAAAATTTGACAAACACAAAGAGCAGAACAATAGAAAGTCTAGTAAGCTAGATACTGCTAATGACTTTAGCCTACCACTACATACTGTTTCAGGACAGAAGAATGTCGATAAAACATAAGATAACTAAAAAAACAGCTTAAAATCATAGTAGGCCTACTTAAAATCTGTAAGATATTAACAACAACAGCTGTAAAATAAGATAAAGATAACAATGACTAAAGTTTCCTTGGTGATTAATCTCCCAACAATAGGCTACTAAAGCTGTAATGGTTACTAATCACCCAATCACAAACTGTTCAACTGTTGTGATATAGCAAGCACTCAACACAACAGACAGATGTTTAAGGAGCAGACGATTGTCAGTGCAAGCTTTGGTAGCTTGAAAGGTAGCTTGACCTTGAAGCTATCAGTCTATTTCTTTGTTCTGCTTCCATTTTATTTTTGTCAAATGAACTGTGATGTTTCAAAAACAATAATGAACCTACTGCATTTAAATAATGACCAGAAATAGTTATACAGTGCATTTCAACACATTAGACTGAAGGAACACAATTTATAAAATTTTCTTGAGGTTATGTACTATAATCTGAGATTCATCTAGATATTGACCACGGTTGATCCACCCCTGGTTAATCGAGGTTCTAATGTACTGGGCTTCTGTGTGACCGAAAAGTGTCCATGTTTGTGCGATAAACGTCAGACTAGATAGAGCTTTTTAAGTAATTAGTCTCAGGCTCTACGGTACGTAAAGAATACAATATGACTTTACTCACTCCATTGTCCCCAATCTACAAATATCTGCCTTGAGAGGTTAGTCAATCAAGGTCCTGTACACCACTACTGAAAACAGCCATCCAGTTGTCAGAAATTTAATTCTCTTCCATTTCATCTTGGGACTTCTTACAATTATTATTAGTTTTAGCGTTTTCACACAACCCAAATTACCAAGAGACACTGCTTGGCAATGAAGTAAAGAAATCAGGGATACCAAATTATGAGCTAGTTTTGTCCTTAAACAGTGTCTCTTGATACTTGTTATTTGAGATACATTTAAAAAGCACGTTAAACAATAAACTTGCAAAGAAATACATTGTAAAAGTCATCCTTTGCTTCCGTGAAACATGTGTTGATAGGCTGATATGGTAATGCAAAATCGCTTCTCAACCATTGAGAAACCTTGTTGTGAGGTACCAAAGTTTAAGGGGGGTAAAAAACGTACTGCTATTCAACAAACACCATAACTTACCAGTTTTCATCCACAATAACCTACTCCTAGGCCTATGTGTTGGCCCTAGCCAACACGCTATGCTATACGGTGTTAGCTATGAGCCAAAGAACGTAGGCCTATTTTTAATCACAGCGAAGTATATATATATATACGTTCACCATACATATTTATTCATATTAGAGAAGATTTAATTCGCTGTTTGACCGCCGACTAGCTCGCACTAATACGACCCTACGATTCTATTACGAAGGTTAGCTAACACACTAGTTATGCCCCTTTTTACGTTATTTCTGTTTTATCTTTCGCGTACTTAACTTATTATACTTTTTCGTTTTCTTAAATTCCCGATTTGAATTATCTAAATTTAATATCTTAACTTGAGTCTTGCCCGCCAGTTCCTGACTGTCGGTGACTAGCGGTGGTTATCGTTTGGTTTGATTTAAACTAGGGATGGACGGGATTGAATTTTTACTTCGGGACGGGACGGGACGGGATTTTTATTTCCTTCCCGATTTTCGGGACGAGACGAGACGGGATTTTTTTCTGTGCATAAAAAGAAAGTCTTGAGTATTGCAGTTACCAAAAAAAGGATACAAAATCAATCTTTACCGTTTGTGGCACTGATCTATAAAAACCAAAAAATTGGTAACAATTTTTCAGGTACCTATAGTCAGAGGTGCCCATCCCCCCCAAACCCAGAGGCGCAATCCCCCCCCCCCAAGCCAAAGGAGTAGCCCCCCCCAATTTATGCTGCCGTCTATTTAAACCTACCCTCCCCTCACCAATTTATCTGACAATTTTCCCTTTACCTCATAAAACAAGCATCTAAAGTATTTAGTGAACTTGAGGTACGAAAAACAATCTTGCTGATAATCAAAATTAAATGTTTAATATGAAACGTCATATACATCAATATAAATCTAACTAATGGACGAATTAGAAGTTTTTCCATTTACAATTCAGAATCTGTATTGTCAGCCAATATGTGTGCTCAGTATTGCAATAGACAACGTCTTCAAAAAACGTACAACAATATAGGCCTACTCGGTGAATTACTCTACTCCAACACAGTACTGTAACTGTACAATATATTAGGTGGCGTTAATTTTTACAGGGCTTAAGAATTCAAACAGCTTTAAGTGCATTTATAATACTTTGGCAAAAAGTATATTGTTTCAAAATTATAGGCAGAGTCACGAAATAAGACAGACTTGTTGCTCGCCACTCCCAGGCTGCCTTCTACAAAAATCGCCGGGCAAAATACCCACAGTATCTCTTAATAATTGCCACCAGTAGGCCTACAAAAGGTTTTTGTGACGAAGTAATCTTATAATTCATTTTGATAGCCCCAGGATTGCCTTTTATGACTAATAGTGGTAGAACGCATCTTGTCAGACAATCCGTTTGTACACAAAACACGAAACGATAACAGATAGGCCTATCAATTCAGGCGTGTAGGCCTATATATTGCCGCGGGCAGGACTGGAAGTAAACTGAATCAGGTAATGACGGAAAGACGTGGTCTCTGGATTGGTGTTTGTGTTATCAAAAGCTGAAATTGGACTAATTCTAGTGACGGAGGAGAGTGTTGAAAATATAATGGGATTCATAATTGATTTTTCCATTCAAAACTATTGACAATAATAACCAATTTATATGGTCTCGACATTCTACATTACTGCAGAAAAGGAAATTTATTAAATACTTTGAGGAGTTTGAAATATACATAAAACTATTGACAGCACAAAATTTTTTAGTGAAAACACTGAATCCCATTATATTTTCAATACTCTTCTCCTTCTCAGTCACTACAATAGTCCAATATCAGCTGTTGAAAACGCAGACGACATTCCAGAGACCACGTCGGTCCGTCATAACCTGAACCTGATTCAGGTTACTTTACTTACTTCCAGTCCTGCCGACGGCAATGTACGAATTGACAGGCCTATCTGTTTGTATTAAATGTTTGTCGTATTCTGACGACACCTCCAGAAGTGGATCTTTTTTAAATCCTGACGATGGTGGAGTTAAAGAACCACCAAAACATATGTAGCAAGTAAAATTTGACACTGGCATATTAAGGATTGTCTGGCAAGGTCCGTTTTTACCATTCTTAGAAGCTATCTTAATTACGAACGGCAAAATGTTGTTGGTGGTGATAGTAAGCTACTTAGAAACACTTTTTCGGGCTGTTTATACAAAATTATACATTCATTATGACAGCTAGCAAAAAAATATCCCCCCCAAAAATCTCAAAATAAGTCCCCCCCAAAAATTCCTTTGCGCCACAGTACCCCCGCTCTGGGCACCCCTGCCTATAGAAACTTGTGACTCGCGGTCGAAAGGACTCGCGGTCACGGTGCGATCGTCAAAATGACGGCGGTAACGGGGTGATCGTCGGTATGACTCGCGGTCACGGCGCGATCGTCGGTATGACTCCCCGGTCACGGAGCGATCGTCGGTATGACTCCGCGGTCACTGCGTGATCGTCGGTATGACTCGCGGTCACGGCGCGATCGTCGGTATGACTCACGGTCACGGCGCGATCGTCGGTATGACTCCGCGGTCACGGGGTGATCTTCGGTATGACTCGCGTTCACGGCGCGATCGTCGGTATGACTCACCGGTCACGGCGCGATCGTCGGTATGACTCCGCGGTCACTGCGTGATCGTCGGTATGACTTCGCGGTCTCGGGGTGATCGTCGGTATGACTCACGGTCACGGCGCGATCGTCGGTATGACTCCGCGGTCACGGGGTGATCTTCGGTATCACTTGCGTTCACGGCGCGATCGTCGGTATGACTCCCTGGTCACAGCGCGATCGTCGGTATGACACCGCGGTCACGGGGTGATCGTCGGTATGACTCGCGTTCACGACGCGATCGTCGGTATGACTCCCCGGTCACGGCGCGATCGTCGGTATGACTCCGCGGTCACTGCGTGATCGTCGGTATGACTCAGCGGTCACGGGGTGATCGTCGGTATGACTCGCGGTCACGGCGCGATCGTCGGTATGACTCCACGGTCACGGCGCGATCGTCGGTATGACTCCGCGGTCACGGGGTGATCTTCGGTATCACTTGCGTTCACGGCGCGATCGTCGGTATGACTCAGCGGTCACGGGGTGATCGTCGGTATGACTCGCGGTCACGGCGCGATCGTCGGTATGACTCCACGGTCACGGCGCGATCGTCGGTATGACTCCGCGGTCACTGCGTGATCGTCGGTATGACTCGCGGTCACGGCGCGATCGTCGGTATGACTCACGGTCACGGCGCGATCGTCGGTATGACTCCGCGGTCACTGCGTGATCGTCGGTATGACTTCGCGGTCACTGTG